TAGAGGAGGGCTTGGAAGGAGGGAAAGGAAGGGAGAAATGATGTAATTATAATCTCAAAAAATAAAAGAAATAACTTTTAAAAAATCTTCTCATGAGACCTCCATGCCCAGAAGTACCGGTGCAGTATCAGATAAATGACATGGACCCCGAACCTGGACCTCTCCATGACAGGGGGCCCGAACCCGGATCTCTCTGTGACAGGGGGCCTGTGCCTGGAGCTCTTCATTTCTGATAGGCTGGCCGGCCAGTGAGCTTTTGAGATCTGCCCCTAGGATTGCAGATACTCATGGCCATACCCAGCTTTTTTGTGTGTACTGGGGATTTTCTCCTTCAACTGTAATTTAAATTGATGAAAATTAGTTTAATCTTAAATTAGTTCCTAATATAAGTCACACCTCATCTTCCTAACAAAACCTCACTTGATTACCATGAGTAATTTATCCCACTTACATATTTCCAGACTCAGACGATTACATGTGTGATGCTCTCAGCAACTGTCCATCCGGAACAGGTCACGTGAGCCTCATAAAGAGAGCTCTGTCTGCACTTCTTTACTGAGTGTCTGGGGACAACATGAAGGCCCAAGTAGATGCCTCACACATCGTGGGTTTGCTCTCTTAGCTTAGGAGCTTGGCTCTTACAGTGAGCCTACTCTTCATTCCCAAGAGGACAATATTTCATCTCTCAAGGCTGAGCTCGGCAAACACAATCCAAGGAAATGGCCTTGCTGATAGCCGACAGGGACTGGCATTCTTGTTTCTTGTGGTGATATATTGTGTACCCTAATAAATTTGCCTGAAGATCAGAGAACAGAAGAAGCCACTAGATTAAATATAGATGCCAAGCAGTGGTGGCACACACTTTTAATCCTAGCACTCAGGAGGCAGAAATCCATCTGGATCTCTGTAAGTTCAAAGCCACTCTGGACTACATGAGATTGACTCAGTCTAGGAGAGAAACAGAGCCAGGCAGTGGTGGCACACGCCTTTAATCTCAATACTTGGGAGTCACACACCTTTAATCCCAGCACTAGGAAAGTTGAGACAGGAAATGATATGGGTGGGCAGAGAAAGGTATATAAGGCATGAGGAGACAGGAACTAAAGTCTTTCAGCTGAGGAAAGTTTTTCAGACTGAGGAGTCCTAGAGATAAGAGGTGGCTTGTTCCTTTGTCTCTCTGATCTTTCAGCATTTACACCAATATCAGGCTCTGGGTTTTTTATTAAAAAGACCATTTAGCAATTCGTGTTACAGTTTCTGGCAAAAACAAACAAACAAACAAAAAAAACCCTAGGCTCAGGGCCATAGTGAATGCTCCCCCGTCAGGCTACCTCCTCGGCCCACATGTTCTTGGCCAAACATTTTACCAGAGAACATTCTGAAATGCCCCACCATGGTCATGAAGTGGCCTGTTTCCATTTGCCATCTCATCTCCTGATGGCCCGGTAGGAAGGTTCAGCTGTGAAGCCCTTACATCTGCCTGAGCAGTGTGAACTGACGCCTGCCTCTAGTGACCCGTTTGCCCTGTGGTCCATTTGATCTGATGATAATAGGACCATGCCAGCTTTCCCTTGGTCACGTCTGGACAGTTTATCTTCCCACCGGAAGCTTTAATTCACTTTAACCTCCTGTGTGGCTGGCACAGATGTCTTCCTCTCTGTCTCTCACGTCCTTTGTTCCATCTGGCTGACAATTGATTGCATCCCTGCCTCCTTACTTACTGTTTGTTCTATCTGTTCCATCCTTATTATTTTTTTCACCATATTTTGAGTATTTTAACTACCCCTTAACGTCTTATCTCTCCTCATCAAGGATGTGCAGTTTCTGTGCTCTCAGAGATTCTCCAGATGGTACAATGTAACACATCAGGGGTCATTAACAGGCCCCACTTAACGTTACTCCGCCTTGGAACAGCTGTGGCCTGAGGGTGCCTTTCCCAGTCCGTCTGCTTTTATTGTCTTGAGTTTTAATTTGTAGATTTTCCTCACTAGTCCTTTAACTATAGTGTTCCTTTGGGTCGTTGTCCACTTGGATTTATGCTCTAGCTTCTCCCTTCTTTCCTTCTTGAATCTCTGACCTTACATTCCCTGTCAACTTGAAGGTGACCCACATTCTTTTTTTTTTTTCAAGACAGGGTTTCTCTGTGTAGCTTTGCGCCTTTCCTGGAACTCGCTCTGTAGACCAGGCTGGCCTCGAACTCACAGAGATCCGCCTGGCTCTGCCTCCCGAGTGCTGGGATTAAAGGCGTGCGCCACCACCGCCCGGCCAAGGAGGGGTATGTGGATCCCTTGTAGAGCTCCTCCTTGGAGCAGCATGGGTACAAGTGGACATAGTGAGAAAATGTACTTCTAGGCTAGTGAGGTGGCTCTCAGGAGTAAAGGTATCTGGCACCAAGCCTCACTTGTTTGAGTTTAGTCTGCTGGGCTCATATAGTGGAAGGAGAGAACCAACTCCAGAAAGCTGTCCTCTGTTTTCTATATGTATGCTGTGGCCCGGCTGGCTCACCTTCTTTAGGTCTGGGTCTGTATTTATGTGCAGCATGTTACTGCTTGTGTGAATTGCCTTCACTTAGTGTCAGTCTGTTGGGGCTGCTGTCTTCTGGTGCACGGGAAGAGCTCCCCTTGCTCTCCGGCTTCCATGGTTTCCGTGAGGAGCCAACTGTGGCGCCTGAGCCTCTCCTGATGTACCGGCTCTTCTTTCAGAATGGCTTCCCGCAGCTAGCTGCTACTTTCGCAGCACTGGTTCAGTGTGGCTTGAGTTTTGTCTTTCCAGCTAGTTAGTCCCTGAGGTTACTGGATGTACAGCTCCATGCCCTTCAGCGGTCCTGGATGGCTCTCCCACTGCCCTCCCTTTCCTTCTCTCTGCTGCTCGTGCTGATTCTCTCGTGTCTCTCACCTTTATTCTGATCCCTCCATCTTGTTTCCCTGTTCCCCATTCCAGGCGGTTTCTCCATCCTGTCTCCCTGTTCCCCATTCCAGGCGGTTTCTCCATCTTGTCCTCCCTGTTCCCAATTCCAGGCGGTTTCTCCATCTTGTCCTCCCTGTTCCCAATTCCAGGCGGTTTCTCCATCTTGTCTCCCTGTTCCCCATCCCAGGCAGTTTCTTAACTGGCCTGCCTATGGTTTCCATCCACTGCTTTTCTGTAATTGCATCAAATCCATTCTGAAATCTTATTACTTTGTTATATGTATTTGATTCCTTGTTCTATTTTGCCTTTGGAAATACCATCAAGATTTTTTTTATCACAACCATTTTCTCCCAGTCTTTTATGGTAATAAAATATACATCTTCAATTTTAGGTATAAACAGTTCGGTGGTGTTGAAGTGCTTTTAATTGCTGTGTTGACCATTACCATCTGTCATGCTCTTCCGTGGCTTGGGTCCCATGACCCTGACTAGGGAGAAGGTACTGAAGCAAGGACAGATACACAGACGCTCGTACAGCGAGCTGGGGTCATGTGGCTTGGGTTATCTGATGGGGAAGCTCAGCATGTCTATTATATACAGTTGAAAGGGGAGCCGAGGTTAGTGTATACAGCCGAACAGGAGGCAGGCTTAGTTAATCTTAGTTAAGGAGGTAGGAGCAGTCTCCGTAGGGGAGCTGTCTTCAGGCTGTAAATATCTAGAGGGAGAAAACTATGATGGACCTTTTCTGCACACATTGTCAATACTGGTACTCAGACCCGAGGAAGGCTTTGCTACCCCCGTGGGTCCGAGGCCTCAGGGTCCTAGACATGGCTGCGCCCATGCCAGCAACACACATTCACTCAGGACACCGTTAATTCCTCCGATAGCTACCATCCATCCAAACAACCCTTTGTATCTTCCAAAACTGAGACGCTATACTGATGAAGTAACAGCTCCCCACCGCCCCTTCTTCAGCCCTGAAAACTACCAATCGTCCTTCCACCTCTGTGAGTTTAACGATCTGGAGGCTTTGTATAAATGAGTCGTGCAGTATTTGTCTTTTTATTTCACTCAGCAGGATGCCATTAAGTTTCATCTACATTATCACATGTCAAATGCTTTTCCTTTTAATAACGCCCCATTCTTTGTATGTGCTGTGTCGTCTTGTTTATACATTTGTTCATCAGGAGACACTTGGGTTGCTCCCAGTGTTTAGATATAAACGATGCCATACCATGCTAGTCCAGATCACCTCAGAATGAAGCCCGTGTATGACCGTGTACCATTGCCTAACACCCTATGAGGTCAGAGTTAAAGACAGTCCACCTGACTGCTGTGACAAAATGCCTTACACTGTGCTACTTGGAAGCAACAGGAATTAATGAACAGTCCCAGAGGCTGAGAAGTCCAAGGCACTAGAATCCGTAACTGGTGAAGCCCACCCTCTCGTTCATAGATGGGAGTCCTGCTGTTCTCACACGGCAGAAGGCACTCTGGGTTTCTTTCATAAGGGCATTGATTCCATTCATGAGATCTCTACGCTCATAACTACACCCTCAACTTAAACATTTTAACACATGGCAGGTAGTATTAGCCAAGTCTCAGAGGTGAGAAAACCAGAACGCAGAGAGGCAGGTTAAACTGTCTCAGGTTGCACAGCTAATGAGTTGCAGAGTTGGGGCCAGAGCCTCCTTGACCACCTGGAAGCCCAGACACACACACTCCAACTTGGCCATCACAGCCTTTCCAAGCCATACTGGCTCCTGGGCCCCCTGTTTACTGTCACACATTTGGGTCAATTCAAGAATGTTGACCCACCTCTCCAGAACCCTGGCTAGAGTATGCCTGGGTAGCACCCCAAGTCTGGTATATCAATAGGTCAGAGACTGGCCCCGAGTACACCACCTGCATGAGAGGATAGAACAGGACCACATGGCCCCATTTCAGGGGGCAGGGGCTGTCAGCCAACCTGGGATGCCTGCCTGAGCTGGATCGCTCTTAAAGGATGCTGGGGGTGGGGCAACGGAGATGCCACTGGGCTGACCAGCTTCTAAGGTACCCAGCCTGTACCCATCCTGGCTTTCTGCCTCACAGGTGAACAACAACGGGATCATCTCCTTCCTGAAGGAGGTCTCTCAGTTCACCCCCGTGGCCTTCCCCATCGCCAAAGACCGCTGTGTGGTGGCAGCCTTCTGGGCGGATGTGGACAACCGACGTGCAGGTGACGTCTACTACCGTGAGGCCACTGACCCAGCCATGCTGCAGAGAGCCACAGAGGACATCAGACAGTACTTCCCTGAGCTCCCGGACTTCTCTGCTACCTGGGTTTTTGTGGCCACCTGGTACCGAGTGACCTTCTTTGGAGGCAGCTCCTCTTCCCCCGTGAGTCCAGGTGGCTGTGTGGCCTGGGAGGGTGGCTGTGTGTGGCCTGGGAGGGAGGCTGTGTGGTTGGGACCCTGCCAAGGCAGGCCAGCTATAGGTGGTCTACACCCAAAAAAGAACTCTGGGCTTAAGATCATGTCACTTCTTAAATCACAGGGCCAGGGTGGAGGAGGACAGAGCCTCACCCTTCCAGGCCCAACACAGCACTTCTCATGTGGGAGCTGCACAGGATCCATGGTGCTAGGAGAAGTTCTGTTGGAACGGCTTGGTTCTCTAACAGTTCCAGGGTGGAGCAGCGTGGGGGAGGGTCTGCTCTAGGTGGGATATTTTTTTGGTTGGTTGGTTCTTGTAGGTTTGTTTTGTTAGAGACAGAGACAGAGAGGTGTACACACCCATATCTTCAAGTGTGCAAGCCTATGTATAGGCCAGAGGAAGACACTGGATGTCCTGTTCTGTGTCACTTTCTTCGTTATATCATCTACACAGGAGCAAACAGTAAACTTTGAGCTAGGCTAGCAGCCAACAAAACTCAAGCAATCCTCCTGTCTCCACCACCCCAGCACTGGAATTACAGGCTTATGTGCAGTCATGTCCCAATGTGTCCTAGGGTTGGATGTGCATCTTTACACTTGTGCAGCAAGTACTCGTACAGCTGAACCACTTGCACAACCCTTGATGGAGTAGGGTCCCATGAAACCTAGGTTGGCTTCAAACTCACGATGTAGCTGTGGATGACCCTCAATTCCCGATCCTCTCCCTCTCAGCCTCCAGAGTGCTGGGTCTACAGATACGTGCCACCATACCTGGCTGCTCTGTTTCACTCCCTGATAGTGGTAATCAACTAGATGGAGTGGCTGAGCCCTTTGTGTCTTTGGTGAGTGTGGTTGGCCGATGCTGCCCACCCAGACAGGTACTTTCCAGCACTTACTATACAAAGGCCTATTCTGGATACTAAGCCACATAGAAAGAGGCCCTGAGATGCAAGTGGCCTGTCAAAGCTGTTTATTCACACAATAAGGGCTTTTGTGAGGGCACCTTCTGGGTGGCAGGCAGTGTCCCAAGTACTGGGTGACAACCCTGGAGAGAACCAACAAGACAAGCCCACACTGTGGTGTAGCTAGAGTTTTCCTGCCTGGCCCACAGTCAGGACAAACTCTCTGACCTGCCAGTCCCACAGCTGCTCAGACCCAACCAAGTAAACACAGAGACTTATATTGCTTACAAACTGTATGGCCATACCAGGCTTCTTGCTAACTGTTCTTACAGCTTAAATTAATCCATTTCTGTAAATCTATGCCTTGCCATGTGGCTTGTGGCTTACCGGCATCTTCACATGCTGCTAGTCATGGCGGCGACTGGCAGTGTCTCCCTCCGCCTTCCTGTTATCTCAGTTCTCCTCTCTGTTAGTCCTGTCTATACTTCCTGCCTGGCCACTGGCCAATCAGTGTTTTATTTATTGAACAATCAGAGCAATTTGACATACAGACCATCCCACAGCACTGTGGGGCTTTCCCAGGCCCCTAACAAAGGCAGCAGGCATTGGGGTGTGCTCAGAAGTACAGTCTATTCAGGCAGCACCTGTTGGGGAGGTTCTTCAACACCGTGTGGATAGGGATGCTCTGTGCATCACGTCACCCCACAGCCCCACCACTTTGTGACCGTCACCCTTCCTGCCACCCACTCAAAGCATCATCATTTGTCTGTTGACTGTCTCTCCTGCCAAATTTTATATACGAATGATTCCTGTTCGGCTTTTTCATTGCTGACAATGATTGAAACAAGCTTAGACTGTGAGAGGGGCCCACGTACTACCAGCGCCATTCGAGATCCTGCTGTGACACACATCCCCAGAACAGTCTGCTGCCCTCTCAGAGTGTCCTACAGGTGTCCATTTGGAGGTGCCTGTTCCCTGCACCCCAGATAAGTGCTCTGTCCTCTTCCATCTTTGCTAACACTGCAGGCAAAACAAGGAATGCTTTTTTTTTTGGGTGGGGGGGTGAGACAGGGTTTCTCTGTGTAGTTTCGGTGCCTGTCCTAGACCTCACTCTGTAGACCAGGCTGGCCTCGAACTCACAGAGATCCTCCTGGCTCTGCCTCCCGAGTGCTGGGATTAAAGGTGTGCGCCACCACCACCTGGCCAAGGAATGCTTTTTTAAAATTTAGATATCTCTGGCTTCTACAGATGTTGAATTTTTTTCTCTAGTGTTATTGATATGGCATTATGTGATAATGTACTTATTCATACCTTCTGCCAATTTTTCTTAATACTTAGGGTCCTTTTTTTATTGTTCTAAGTTTTCCTGGATATGAAGGATATCAGCAGTCTTATCGCCATATATTATAAATGCATTTTTTGCTACTGTCTGCCAATCATTTTGATATCACAACACTTTTCCCACTCAGAGGCTTTTGTCTATAAGTATATTGATCTCTCTTTTGGTCTTTGCTATTACTAAATATCACAGAAGTCCTTCTCTGAGATGCAATGTGTACTGCCCAATGTTTTCTTCTAGGACTTCCATGATGTTTAAAACCAGACTTGATTTGGGATTTGTTCTCATGCATGGGGTGAAGCGGGGCAGGAGGCTAGCTTTGCCCTTTTTCAGTTTCCCATGTGTCCAAAGATTATTTCTTCACCCCAATCTGAAATGCTGTTTTGGGGGTTCACCGCTCGGGGATGGTCGTGGAGTTAAAGTCTATGAAAACCATAAAACCTAAGATTAGAAGCTGCTTTTCCTCTTTGTTTTTGTTCTTACCACACAGATTTTGTGGGTTTGACTAAGGGAGGGCACTCCAGCCTCTGCAGGAGCCTGAGCCCCTTGAGGCTGGGGACAGCGTCTGCTCCAGCTGTTCTGGCCTTGTCCCTTAACAGTGGGGTAGGCTGTAGGGATAGACAAAGCCACCATAGTCCTACCTTGCTTGGCTGTCCATTGGAAGGAGACAGGGCTTTTGATGTGGGACAGAGGGTGCAGCCAGCCACAGCTAACCCCCTCTCCTGGCAGGTCAACACGTTCCAAACAGTGCTCATCACCGATGGCCGGTTCTCCTTCACCATCTTCAACTATGAGTCCATCCTGTGGACCACGGGCACACACGCCAGCAGCGGGGGTGACGCTGTCGGCCTGGGAGGCATCGCAGCCCAGGTAAGCCAGAGCAGAAGGTGCCGTGGGGAGGAGGGGTAGGCCGATCTTCACTGTAGCAGATATCGGCTCCCTTCCAGGCCTATGCAGAGATCAGTCTGTGGCAGCCACAGTGACTCTGTGTCCCTCAGGCCTCTTGGTGCCCAGAACCACACAAAATTGCCTCTGGTACCTTTGTCCTTTCCTCCCTGATAAGGGTCTCTGTCCCCAATGTGTCAGGAAGGCTGTGCCCATCCCCGAACCATGCTCTTGCACTCACCTCCGGACCCCAACTTTCTCCTGGGGCGGCACTTCTCTTGGGCCTTAGGTGAGGCCTAGAGGCTGAGTGGGTGAGCGCTGGAAGCTAGGGAGCAGTCCAGCACCCTGCTTGACTGGAGGGACTGCTGAAGTCAACAGCCCCCGACATCTACAGTGTCCTCTCCTTACAAGGCCATCTCTCCACCATCCTTGACTTGGCCATCCTGAGAGAGAACTCAGTGACTGTAAGGAGACCTGCCTCCCTCTCTGCCCCCGCTCCCAGGCAGGTTTCAACGCAGGTGATGGGCACCGTTACTTCAACATCCCTGGGTCACGCACAGCAGACATGGCTGAGGTGGAGACCACCACCAACGTGGGCGTGCCCGGGCGCTGGGCGTTTAGAATCGATGATGCCCAGGTGCGCGTGGGGGGCTGCGGCCATACAAGTAAGAGGCTCAGGGAGGGGAGGGCTGAGGAACCCTGTGGCAGTAGGGGCGGGGCTCAGGGGCTAGAACCTATCCCCCACCTCCCTAAATCCCCACCCACCCTCCCTGCCCCACAGCCCATCCTGTCCCATGCCTCAGGTGACCTGGGTCTTCTGGGGAGAGGAGCAGAGCAGAGTTGCCCCTGCCTCCATCTCAGGGGTGAGGGCGGAGGGGACAGGGACCTCCATAGGCCTTATGGTAGTCACAAGCTAGAGCATAGCATGGTCCTTCTAGTCTAGCAGTATAAGCGGTCAGATGGCCCTGGTGCATACACTCGGGAACCCCAGCTCTACCACCATGTGGCCTCTAGAAGGTACCGCACCCAGAAACACCCTGTTCACCATGCGGAGGTGTCAAAGCCCTGGCTGACTGACTGACCTGCCAATCAGTAGAGACCTCCATCACAAACCCTCCTAAACCTGAGCTGAAGACAGGCCACTGCTAGGACCCACCCCACAAACTTGTTGATCATGTGGTTGAGGCCACAGGACAGGGTGCTTTTCCCTGGCACTGAGTCCCCTGAAGAGAACTCTGCTGGGTGACCACACAGAGCACCAGCAGGTCAGGGAGACCGTCCGGTGAAGGGCAGATGAGGACGAGTGTACTCAGGACATGCAAGGCTGGGGAGGGAGAAGCTGGCACACACTTGACGTGCCGGGTACATAGCAGGCCAGCCTGGGCAACCAAAGTTGAACTCCATGACATCCTGGCTCCAGAGCAGCAAGTGGAACACTTGAGAGGGCAGAACCCAGGCTGGAGAGATGGCTCAGCGGTTGAGAGCACTGGCTGCTCTTCCAGAGGACCCTGGTTCAATTCCCAGCACCCACACGGTGGCTCACAACTGTCTATAACTCCAAGATCTGACACAGACACACATGCAGGCAAAACACCAATGCACATAAAATAAAAATTAAAATTAAATTAAATTTAAAAAGCAGGCAGAACCCCAGGGCAGCCCCAGCCCTGCTCCTGGCCAGCAGTCAGCTCTGACACTAGGACTCTGGACAGTGGCATCTGAAGTGGTCCTGTGGGTGTTGCTTGCAGTGGGGGCTGGGAAGTCAGGTCCCTTGCCAAAGGCTGAGTGTTAGGTTCTGGTTGAGGAGCAAGGGGCACGTGTGGACAAACCACGCTTTTCAAGCTGCTGCAGCTCAGCTGGAGGGGGACTCTCAGAAGAGCGTCCAGCCATCAGGTGCCTTCCCATTTGTGGAGCACCACCCCCAGGTCCATGTGATAAGAAGGCACAGGAAACAGCTGCAGAGATGCCTTGGTACTGTGGTGCCTCTAGGAGCCAGGGATACAGCTATCCTGCTAGCCCAGGAGCAGTTGTGGGGTGTTATATAAACACGAGCTTGCTCAAAAGGGAGGACGGAGGGTGCCTGAGAGGCAGCACCTCACGCCTGGAAGTCTAACTCCTAAGCAAGCCCAGCTCTTCTTGCAGCCATGGCTGCAAGGGGCAGCCACATTTCAAGTAGACCAGGTGAGCACAGTGCTGCTAGATGATCCCAGTTGACAGAAAGGTAAGCTCCCTGATCAGAAGACACCCACAGTCTGAAGGGTGTGGTGATCACTGGTCCTCCCTGGAGTCCTCCTCCAAGTAACAGGCGATTGGAGTCCTTGAGACTTTCTGATCATCTGCCAATTTGTGATTAACCTCTTATTTCAGGAGCTCAGCCGGACCTTATAGAACTGGGTTTGGGGGTTGCTGAGGTCTCAGGGGAACCCCAGGAGGCCTTCCTAAGAGGCCTTTGCCATGATACACACTGGCTGTGACAACGGATGCCAGCTTCTCGCTTTACATGTGAGGAAACCAGGAGGGTGGCTGAGCAGCCCCAGAAGTGCCCGTGGCAGAGGTGGGAAGGATTAAAGAGCTAAAAGAAGGAGCTATGGCATAGGTGACTCCGGCAGGAAGCCAGAGTCAGAACCTAGGACACCAATGATCAGCAATAGACCCTGGTAAGAGAGCTGCCAGGCAAACTGGGCTCCAGCTCGAAGACCCAGAAACTGATCACAAAGATGCTCTGTCACCAATGTCATGGTCACTAAACTGACCCTTTGGTGGAGTGAAGGGAGACATTGCCATTGCAGGTGGCTCTCCTGCCCACATTCTAGATGCAGTGGCATGAGGCTTGGGCTCCTTTCTGTGTCCACAGCCTCTGTGTGCCTGGTCCTGCGTCCGTGCCTCAATGGCGGCAAGTGTATTGATGACTGCGTCACGGGCAATCCCTCCTACACCTGCTCCTGCCTCGCTGGCTTCACAGGGCGGAGATGCCACCTGGGTGAGTCACTGGCACCCGGGTGGGGACAAGGTACCCACTGATTTCCTGCACCCAGTCACTCCGCCACCCACTGGTCATATACCAGGCGAAGGGGAAATACTGCAGGGCTGACAGTGGCCGTGAGGTCCAAGGTCTCTGTCCTCGTGATACAGAAACTGATGGAGGTCAAACGCTATGGTTATGTGGCAGTGGGTGCTGCTGCTGCAGCTCCCAGCCACTCTAAGTTAAGGCCTGTCAGGGTTCGGGGCTTAGTCTGTCCTCCACCCCTACCCAAAGCCCTGGCACTTCCTTCACAGTTTCCTCTACTGAGGCCCCAGCCTGCTCCATGTTTCAGATGTGAACGAGTGTGCTTCCCACCCGTGTCAAAATGGTGGGACCTGCACCCATGGTGTCAACAGCTTCAGCTGCCAGTGCCCAGCCGGCTTCAAGGGACTCACCTGTGAGTCAGGTAGGAACTCACCAACCTCGCGAGCTGCAAAGCGCAAGACACATGGCTAGGGAACAGTGAGACTGAGGACTGCAGGAGGTCTTGGCACCAATGGAGGCAGCCTAGAGAGTTCTGTCTCAAGAGAGTGCAGGAGGAGCCCGAGGTCACAGGGGAGGCCTGTCTGATGGTGTGGGCAGGAGCAAACATGGGTGAGTGTGGCAGACACAGACTTCCTGGCCCTGGCACTAGATCACGGATGGAGCTTTGGAATAGATGAGAGCTCAGGTCCTTCATTGGGCCAGGGTCAGAGTCAGGAGTCTTCTGGGGGTGAGAAAGTGGAGGATTTCTGGAGTAAGGTGGGACAGCTTTGAGATGGGGAAGGGCAAGGCATGTGCTCACAGAGCACAGGCTTTCTACCACACAACCCCCTGGCCCCTGAACCAACTGCTCCTCCCCAGGCTCTCACCGTCTGGGAAGGTGCAGGGTGGGGTCCTGCTGCTTCTCCAGTGCGGCTTCCAGACCACTGGAGCCCTCTGTCTTCACAGTGCAGCTCAGCTAAGGCATTCCCCCATAGATTCGGCCTCCAGTTTTTTGCCGTTCCACTGGTACCTCCTCAGGGCCCTCCTCCTTACCCTGCACGGTCCCTGCAAGCAGACCCTTCCATTCCAGCCTCCAGTCTCACCATGTGGTCTAGTCCAAGGGCTAGTCCAAGGCAGCCCTTGAATGTCAAACACTGTGACCACCACACCCGACCCAGCTCAGCCAAACAGTATCCCTTCCACCCCCATAGAGTTCTGAGTAGTATAGCCATCATTATAAAAACTTACACTAGAGTTGCCATGGGGCTTCTTAAACCCTTTCTACTTGTGACCCCCTTTTGCTAAGGAAATTTTTATGCAATCCCAGAAATGATGAATCATAATGAAATTTATCTTAAAATTATCTGATATACACATAATTTTTTACCCCTTACTAAAGATGAAAGCAGCCAGGAGTGGTGACGAATGTCCTCAAATCCAGCACTTAGGAGGCAGAGGCAGGCAGAGCTTTACAAGCTTGAGGTTAGCCTGGCCTGCATAATGAGTTCCAGGAGAGCCAAGGCTACATTGTGAGACCATTTCTCAAAAAACAAATGAGAGGGGAGAAAAAATGTGAAATCTAATTTGCATGCTAACAAGGTATATGTGCTTGTTTTTACATAAAGAATTAAATTATGGCTGAGTATTTGATACTGCAGGACCCGGGGCATCTTCAATACTTCAGAATTGATGAATATTTTGATTTTATAATCATCAATGATAAGAACACTGTTTCACATAAATGTAGAGTGCAAAATGGCAGAAGCATGTTTAATGCCATCAGAAATTGCTGAAAACAATCCTGATCCCAAGCCAAAATTCATGGCATTTTGGAGATGGCTCAGCAAAGCGCTCGCCACTCAAGCATAAGAACCTGAAATCAATTCCTGGAACCCATCTACAAAATCCAGGTGTGGTAACGGGCACTCATAACCATCCAGGGACAAGTAAGAAGGTGCCTGGGGCTTACTGGCCAGCTATCCTATCTTACCCTATCCAGATCTCTGCGAGTTCAAGGCCAGCTCGCTCTACATAGTGAGTTCCAGGACACCCAGGGCTCTTTAGACAGATCCTGACTCAACAACAACAACAACAAAAAAGTTTTCTCTAATATCATACAATTCAAAGATAATACTGATTTGATACTTCCACGCCAGGGAAGGATAGGAGGGAAGCAGTGAAAGCCTTTGTTTCCATAAGACATTATATTTGCATTAAAGAAGAAAACATCCTATGTATGATAAGAAAACTGTTCTGAAGTGTTTCGGGCAGTGTGCACTGGTCTTGCCCAGCCCGCTGGCATATGCAGAGTGAAGTGTGCATGTTGTGTTCAGAACCAAGGCAGCAGTGAAGCTGTAAGTCCACACAGTGCATACCGCCAAAAACATCCCAGGTTCATTATGCATTCCATTTTGAATTTTTAGTTATGCATTCAGAAGTATTTTAATTTGCAAATTTTTCACAATATCTGATTTCAGGTATGCAACCACCTATGGGATTTGCAATTCGCAGTTTAAGAAGCTAGGATTTAGATTGACTGTGTTCAAATAGCTTCCATATCAATACCTCAGTCTAGAAAAACAATCCTATCAACATTCATGGTCACAAGAAGCTAAGTGTTTAATTTCAGTGCACACACACACACATTTTTACTTGAGAAAACTGTAGTTGAATGACCGTAAGGGGATTGTACACACACACACACACACACACACACACACACACACACACACACAAAGAAACAAGTTTGTGAAAGAAATGAAAAGGAAATTGATTTTTAAGTGCATTAGGTTAATGCATTAGGTACCCTTGATTTCCATTAGGTAAGAAGGCTTTGCAGTGAACCCTCGGCTGTCCATTGTGGACAAGGCCACAGTGCTCCAGCCCAAACCAGAGCCTGGATGGTTGGAACACATTCCAGGCTAAAGAGCTTTTCCCCAGGCAGAGGTTAGGTACTACTTGCTCTCCATATGCATCAGCAGAGCTAGATGTGGCAGACTGTGGAGACCCAGACGGCCTACTGCTCTGTCCACCTGCCAAGGCCCAGGGAGACCCTAAGGGTTGCTACCATGCTGTCCAGGGAGGACTCGGTCTATGAGGTCTGAGAGTGGCCACGGGGGACAGGGGCAGAGTTGGGCAACAGCCGCTCCTTAGCCACTGAGACAGACTGGAAGCCCCAGGTTCCAGAAGCCCTCTTTGGATGTATGGCAGAAGTTGGTCCCATTCTGCCTGACATCCTATCCAGCACACATGCCCTTCCTCCATTCCAGGTTTGCTGAACTAGAACCAATTCATACGGAGCTTTGGGTACCCTTGAAACTGCCCTAGCCAGACCTCCTCCCATTGAGCCTAGATCTGTCAAGGATAAGGCTCAGTATATGTCCTCAGGGACTTCTGCCCATCAGCCCACTACAGTCAGGACTCCAATATCCTGTCTACTCCTCCTTACTTGTAGCCCAGTCTCCATGTGACAACAAAGTGTGTCAAAATGGTGGCCAGTGCCAGGCAGAGAGCAGTTCCGCAACATGTGTGTGCCAGGCTGGGTACACTGGGGCCACCTGTGAGACAGGTGAGTAACCTACACACAGGATGGGGGGGCGCCTATGGGTGGCAGGGAGTGCTTGGGAGGGCTCCCCTCTGGCCAGGTTCAGGATGGTCCCAGTCTGGCTTAAGCTAATCCCCCATCTTTTCGGCCCCCAGATGTGGATGAATGCAGCTCTGACCCATGCCTGAATGGCGGATCCTGTGTTGACCTGGTTGGAAACTACAGCTGTATTTGTGTGGAGCCCTTCGAGGGACCTCGATGTGAGACAGGTAGCTGCCACTTGGTCCTCTACAGTGACTGTAACTTGTGCAGTGGCTCTCACTTCAGCCACGCCCCTTTCCTGCCTCACTTCCTGCCCCCCCCCCCCCCCCAGCCGCCTTCCCATTTACTTTCCAGCCCTTCCAGAGCCACCAGCTGGAGAGAACAGGGAACAGCTGGGCTGGGCGGGTCTTCTCCTTTCTAGGCATTGGTTTCCATCTGTAACATCAGGGACAGGTGACAACCTTCTCAAGTCTGGTTTGTTTGTTTTTTTTTTTCAACTCAAAGGATTCTAGGCTTTTTACTCATAAATAAAAGTAACCCATTTTTTAAAACATAAGTCAGCAGAAGAAAAGAATGTTTCACTTCTAGAGAAGAGCTACAATAGATGCTCACTAGGAGCCATGCAGGCTGGAAAGGAAAAACCATCAGTCTAGTGGTACAGACCACATAGAACTACATTCCAGAGCCAAGGGGAAATAAAGACCCTGCTCGCATAAGCATCCAGCAACACACCTTTCTCATGAAAGGTGTTAAAGGAGCCGGGTGGTGGTGGCATACACCTTTAATCCCAGCCAAATCTCTGAGTAAGAGGCTAGCCTGGTCTATAGAGCGAGTTCCAGGACAGTCAAAGCTACACAGAGAAACCCTGTCTTGAAAAACAAAACAAAAAAAAAAAAAAAAGAAAAAAAGTGTTAAAGGAAATTCTTTAGACAGAGAAAAATGGTCTAAGACAAAAATATAGAGCTATACAGAAGAACAAAATGTGAGAAATGTCCAATGTGTGGGCCAAAGTTCTGAATCTCTTTTAAAATATTTCAAACAAAATAATTTTTATTTTTAAATTGAAGCAATTTGTCATAGGGATTATAACATATGGGGGGGAAATGTATGGCACTAATGTAAACTTTTTGTCAGACAAATCTTTTTCTGAAGAGTCAAATGGTGTCTGTCACAACTACCAAGCCCCTCCCTCTATTGTGACATGAACGTAGCAACCACACAACAGTTCGGAGCTGAGTGCAAGGCAGTGAGTGTGTCCGTGTTGCTAGTTTTTCAAAGAACTGTGGCATGCATGTGCCCCTCCTTATACACACACACACACACACACACACACACACACACACACACACACACATACACATACACACACACACATTTAAAAATAAACCAAAATTAAGAAACTCCAATGAGTTATGGATGTTTGCCACCCCCCAAGTTGGGCATCTGATTCAAGCATTTTAAAACAATGCTATTTGTAACAGCTCCCCTGAATGTTGGAAGGATTGGATACAAATCTAACAAAATATGTATACAATTTTACAAAAAGTGATAAGAGAACCAAAGATCTAAGCAAATGGACAGAAATACATGTTCATAAAGGAGAAGACTCGGCATAGTAACTATGTCTCTTCCCAAACTGATTCATAGATTTAATGTAATTTCAAGCAGAATCCCAGTGGGATGTTTTTGTACATATAGACTAGCTGGTTCTATATTAATATGGGAAAGAAAAGGAACTTGAGTGTCCAAACAATTTTGAAAAAGAATAATTGTTGTGGAATCACACTACTGGATATTAAGACTTACTATAAAGTTATAGTGATGTAGAATATGTATTATTGGCAAGGAGACACCACACTCAAATCAATGGGACAGAGAGAGAATCTATAATTACATCCTGAATACCAAGTCAAGTCCTGGCACATCCAAGACAAGTACCTCACCACTAAGCTGTACCCATAGTCCTCATTTTTTTCTGAGTTGGAGTTTTGTTGTGTTACCCAGGCTAGTCTTGAACTTGCCATCCTCCTCCCTCAGATTCCCAAGTACCCAGGACTGTAGGCATACACCATCTTTTTTTTTTTTTTTTTTTTTTTTTGGTTTTTCGAGACAGAGTTTCTCTGTGTAGCTTTGCGCCTTTCCTAGAACTCACTCTCTAGACCAGGCTGGCCTCAAACTCGCAGAGATCCGCCTGGCTCTGGCTCCCCAGTGCTGGGATTAAAGGCGTGCACCACCACTGCCCGGTGGCATACACCGTCTTGCTGGACATTTCCATAAAGGCAATTCAGGAGAAAGGATACTTTGTCTACCAAATTGGGATAATTCAATATCCTCATTTAAAAAAAAAAAAAAGAAGAACCTCAAACCTTACAAAAATTAATTCAAAATGGATCTTGAATCCATATGGAAAGTGCAAAACTAATATTTTTAGGGAAAAAAAGGAACAGAAATTAAACTTTGTGATCTGGTCTTCAACAAAGTGTTCCTAGATAAGACAGCAAAAATAAAGAGAAAATTTGATTCTTTGCCCAAATTTAAAAGTTTTGCTCTGTTAAAGGCATAGTTAAAAGATGGACAAGGAGGGCTGGAGAGATGGCTCAGAGGTTAAGAGCACTGACTGCTCTTCCAGAGGTCCTGAGTTCAATTCCCAGCAACCACATGGTGGCTCACAACCATCTGTAATGAGAGCTGGTACCTTCTTCTGTATACATAATAAATAAATAAATCTTTAAAAAAAAAAAAAAAAAAAAAAAAAAAAAAAAAAAAAAAAAAAAAGATGGACAAGGTGAGTTCCAGACTGGACGATGGTGGTGAGACTCCTGTCTGGCAAAGGACTTGATATATGATGGATTCTCCAAACTCAAAGCAGGACAATCCAGTTAAGACCAACTGAAAAACAGGCGAAACACTTAGACATCTAGGCACAAAACATATGTGGAGGTACGTGAGCAGATGAATATTCCTGACATTACCTTCAGCCACTAGTGAGATATCACCACAAACTTAGTACAGTAGCACAAAAATACCAACCTGGTGTGGGCAGTTGTCTCCTGTGCCAACACGTTCGAGGCTACTTCCCACTGTCTCTTCTATCAGGTTCAGTGTAACTGGATTTATGTTGACGTCTTTGATCCACTTGGACATGAGTTTTGCAGAGCACATATTTTTTTCCGAATAGTCATGAAGTGTCATTACGACTGGCCATGTTGTGGGCCATAATATAAGGCCCAGTGACTTAAAGCCACAACAGCTAAACTAGTAATCATTGGAAAGTCTTCACTATTTACCAACAGGAATGTCTGATCAGCGATGTATGGAAGCTCTGGGTGGTCTTTCAGCGTTGATTTTTGTGTCCCAAGAAAGGAGCCTGGGCCAGGCTGGCTCCCAGAAGATAGGCATCTGACTTGAATGCCCCTTGGCACTGAGAACAGCTGTGGGAACTCACAGGGGGCCAGCTTCTCCTCCATATCCAGCAGCCATGCCTGCTCTTGCCCCGGAATTTTCATCTCTCTCAAGTGGCTGCTATTAACCACTGACTTTCTTGCAGAAAGCTACCTGGTGCCTTCCCCCTGCCTCTCCAACCCCTGCCAGAATGGGGGCACCTGTGTGGATGCGGATCCAGGATACGTGTGCGAATGCCCTGAAGGCTTTATGGGCTTGGACTGCAGAGAGAGTACGTCAGGACTACTGGGGCTGTGTCCCAGGACTGGGGCAAGAGAAGGGGGAGTGAGATGCCTATAGCAGCAGAGTTGAGGAGGGTCCTCCCTTGGGTTGTACATGCAGGAAACCCCATGAGACAAAATGTTTGAGTGTGTGTGTGCTTGGCAGTTTTGTGGGAGGGTAGCCAGGATTGACCGAGGTTAAAAGAGAGAAGTTTTCGCCCATGGAAGCTTCTCCCCTATCCCCACACAGGAATCCTCAATGACTGCGAGTGCCGGAATGGAGGCAGATGCCTGGGTGCCAACACCACCCTCTGCCAGTGTCCTCCAGGCTTCTTTGGGCTCCTTTGTGAATTTGGTAGGTTTCCTGCCTGGTCCCTGGATATCATTACCAGGGTCACTGGGTCTTAGAGGTGGGGGGCACCTTCGTCAAGAAGACAAGGTCCTCAGGAAGATGAGTGGGCACTAAAGGAGCTTCTTGCTTCACAGAAGTCACAGCCACGCCCTGCAACATGAACACACAGTGTCCAGACGGAGGCTACTGCATGGAGTATGGCGGGAGCTACCTATGCGTCTGCCACACAGACCACAACATCAGCCACTGTGAGTGGCTAGGGACAGGCCACCAGGGATCCTGGACAGTGGTCTAGCAGGAGAAGGTGCAGGTGATGCCGCAGAGCCAGGGTTAATGGAAGAACCTGCAGGTGTGGGAGGCTCTGGCAAACTTCACTTGCCATTGTTACAGGGGTCTCCTTCACTCCCTGAGGGAAAACATTTGGACAAAGATAAAGCACCATAAGCTATCTTCCCTCAGGCCTTAATGCATACACGATTTTGTGTGACTGATGCATTTACTACCTAGTGTAAAGGCACTGATCAGTTAACTGGTGTGTAATTATACAGATGATGATCTGGCAGTACCACAGGTCAAAGCTACCTTGTTGGAGAGGAAGCTTGAATGTTGCTAAAATCAAAGAGTAGGAGAAACGCCGGGGGGGGGGGGGGGGGGGGGTGAGGCCTTAGGCCAAGGTGAGCAATCCAGATGCAAGCAGAGTGTATTTTAAGTGGCCTTGGTTTCAGTCAGAAGGGATGTCAAGGTGACCCTGGCAGGCAGGTGCTCCAGGACAGCATTTCCCCTCTTCCCCCCAGCTCTACCATCACCCTGCGACTCCGACCCTTGCTTTAATGGAGGTTCCTGTGAAGCCCACGACGACTCCTACACGTGCGAGTGCCCACGGGGATTCCACGGCAGGCACTGCGAGAAAGGTGACGTGGACCAGAGAGGGAAATGGGGCGAGGGATGGGGCGGGGTGAGCTCTGGAGCGCAGCTGGGGGCGGGGCGGGGCGGGGCGGGGGCGGGGCGTGCGCCTTCCCTGTCTCCGCCGTCAGCACCACGGAGAGCTCCCAGCCGGCAAGCCCACAGCTAGCTGTCTGTGTGCCTTCTCTCTTTCATCAGATACTCTTTCTCTCCCGAGCTCTTCTTAGGCTCTTTGCGCCGCACATCTACAGCAGCAAGTACCTCGCCATTTCCGACAGTTATTTTCGTCACTTTTGTCACTGGTCTTCATGCCTCAAGAGGCTTCTTTTTTTCCTCAGTATTTTTCCAAATAGATTTTAGAATGATTATATTGAACTTAAATTTTTTCATTCCGATTTTGTTAGATTTAGTTTAACACAGAGAATGCAGACATTTTACAGCATTTAGCTACTTAGGATTTAAGTATTCTTCCATGATGCATTCCAGTCTCCACCAGTACCCCCCAGGATTATCCCTTTCATGCAATAACACACACTCTCACAAGCCAAGCATCTCAGGCATACCCTTGACTGAAGGCCTTTGTAAGCTGACTCAGGACTCTGGGCACCCCACAGCCTGGCTATTCAGGATAGCCAAGACCACAGTGGATTTATGAGGAGCCCCCACACACACATCGCTTCTCCGGCTGTGTATCACATGCCCCAGAGCAGGTTTCTGACATGCTGTGAGGATACTCACAGCATTCTCTGTCCCTGAAGCAGCATAGAGAGCTGCTAAAGAGAAGGTCTTCTGCATGGTTATCCCTGAAATCCCATACAGGGCCCTTCCAGAACCTGCTCCAAGAGGGCCTTAAGGGAGACCCGTGCATTTGCTAAGATGGCATAGGAATGATAGGGCAGGGACACCGGGCCCTGTAAGCCTGGCTTGGAGAGGGTATGGTCTCTGGGAAGGATATCCTGTAGAGCTATGAAGCTATCTGTAGCTGGGAGGTCTAGAGCAGATTCTGGAAGGGCACTGTGTGTATGTGTGTTGTGACTTGGGGCTCAATTCTCCATCAAGGAGATAACTGGCAGGTTCAGGGCCTATAGCCTGTGAGCCCCACTCACCCTTTGCTTGTGCCTGGCTGATCTAGCTCCTGCTATGTTGGGCCTTGTGGAACAGCTGAGAAGCAGGTTTGACTTCAGGCCCATCCAGTACCAAAGGACTGAAAAGGCAGAGCATGGTAACAAGGATTCTGCAGCACTAGGAAGGTGGCCCATGTTCACCGTATCTCTCTGTCTTTGCACACAGCCCGGCCGCACCTCTGCAGCTCCGGGCCCTGCCGGAATGGGGGCACGTGCAAAGAGACAGGCAATGAGTACCACTGCACCTGCCCTTATCGCTTCACTGGGAGACACTGTGAGATTGGTGCGGCCCCAGGGCAGGGGTGGGTGGTGAGGGACATGCTCTGAGCTAGGGCTGAGCCAGCCAGAATCTAGCTGCCCAAGCCCTGACCACCATGCACTTGCCTCTCAGGAACACCTTCATGAAGGTCTTGTTTCTGGGATGGTGGGCACATGGAGAGGTTGATGTCTATGATACGTGACTCTGATGGTGTCTTCTGCTTTCAGGAAAGCCAGACTCCTGTGCCTCTGGCCCCTGTCACAATGGTGGCACTTGCTTTCACTACATTGGCAAATACAAGTGTGACTGTCCTCCAGGCTTCTCTGGGCGACACTGCGAGATAGGTATGGTGGGAGCAGCCAGGGATACTCTCCTGAGCACATGTGAAAACTGGATCAAGAGGCAGAGCTGGGCTGGCAGGGGTGAGAGGTGGTCTAAGTACAACACAGAGGACCTCAAGAGAAACACGGCGAAAGGGGTCTTCTGTGTTCTTGCAGCCCCCTCGCCCTGCTTCCGGAGCCCATGTCTGAATGGGGGTACCTGTGAGGATCTAGGAGCAGATTTCTTCTGCCACTGCCAGCCAGGGTATACAGGACACCGGTGTCAGGCAGGTGAGAGCCAGGTGGGTGGGCTGGCAGCATGGCATCTTTTCTGGATCCCCTAGGAGCTGGGCAGGGAAGGGATAGGGTCCTAGTTATTTTTCTGCTGCTGTAACAAAGCACCAAGACCAAGGCAACTTATAGAAGAGTTTTTTGGGAGCTTACAGTTCCCAGGGTGCCATGACCATGACCATCATGGTAGTGAGCAGGGCAGCAGGCAGACATGGTGCTGGAGCAGTAGCTAAGAGCTCACATCCTGATATACAAGCATGAGGCAGAAAGAGAAAGCCAACTGGGAATGGCATTGGCTTTTGAAACCTCAAAGCCTGCCTCCAGTGATACAAACTCCATAATCCTAATCCTACCCAAAACAGTTCCACCAACTGGGGACCAAGTATTCAAATATATGGGTTTATGGGGGACATTCTCTTTCAAACCACTGTGGGAAAGGGAAAATCAGTGTTTGAGGTGCCACCCCCAGAAGCCATTGTAAATGGAGTTTTCCCGTCCTGATCCTGTCCCCTCGAGCAGGTGGTGTAGAAGCCAGGCCTCTCTGGTCACGTGGAAGAATATATTAGACTAAGTGGGTGCCCTGACACTCAGGAACTGCTGATGTTCTCTTGCAGAGGTGGACTGTGGTCGCCCTGAGGAGGTGAAACATGCTACCCTGCACTTCAATGGCACTCACATGGGCTCAGTGGCCCTGTACACATGTGACCGTGGCTTCAGTCTGAGCGCCCTCAGCCATATTCGTATCTGCCAGCCACAAGGTGTCTGGAGCCAGCCTCCCCAGTGCATTGGTGATTCTGTGGGCCCTCAGGGATGGGTGGGCAGGGCCAACATCTTTTTCTCACAGCCATAGGAAGTTGGGACAGAGCCTGCACACAAGCCCCTCCCCCATCTCCTCTCTGTAAATGGAGGCTATGCATCCTGTGGTGACAAGGGGGATTGCTATCAGCTTTGTTCTGGGCTATTCCTATTTAGAGCGTCCTTGTCCTCAGAGCAACCAAGAACAGATCAGGCAGCTGCAGACCCACACTGCAGATAAAACAGCTGAGGCCAAGACTTAATCAAAGTGCAGGGTCCTAAAGAAGCAGATCTCAGTTCAGGTCTCCACCCAGACCTGTGGAATCAAGCTGCATTTAAACAAAACCCTAGCCCCCACATAAGCATTGGAGGAGTGCTGTTCCAGATAGCATCCTCTCCAGGGTCCCAGTCATTGCTCTGTCCTGGAGACAGGGTCCTTCTGACCAAAACCCTAGATCTGGGAAGCTCTTACCAAGGCTGCAAGTGCATAGAATGGAGCCTGTATATGCAGCTCTGCCATCAGGAACTGTGTTATCGTAACACAGTTCTCACGAAACATACACAGGGACAGCACCTACAAGAATTGCCATTTCCCAAATGCCTGGAGAAGCCCATCCCACTGTGTGGGCCCACCAGAATAAAGAGTTCTGAAGAGGAACACCTGGCCTCGGTGAGGCATCTATCCTCTACTCCTGCCCTCCCAAGCCCAAGTTCCTGCATGGTGCTCAGGAGAATGCCTCTCTCAGTTCCTCTTCTCCTCAACATGTTGCCAGGCACAGAGGAGGAGGCTCCAGCAAGGAAGAAAGCTCCTGGAAGCACAGCCCCCAAAAGCAGTGATGGGTGTCCATATAGCAGCTACCATTGGAGACAGAAATAGAGAAGATGGCCAATCAGCACAAAAGGATATTTGTCTACTATACACATTTTATGTTGCACCATTTATCGTGACAGTATGCAAAAGTTAATATGGCATTGGCCGTGTACAAGGGGATCAGTAAACCATGCTTTAAAGCAAGTAGAAAGAGGAGACTTTAAACCACAATAGTTGAAATAATCGGCATAATTTATAAGTGGATATTGATGAAGAATAATTCGGTGAGTTGGAAGACAGTTGGGAGAGCCTCCCCAGAAAGAAGAGGAACAGGCTGTGCACAAAAGAAAGTATAGAGCCTGGAGGGGAGCAGCAGCACCAAGCCTGAGACATAAGAATATCATGGGATAACAGCAAATCCTTGACTAGCCAGGGGGACAGCACGGTGAAGGACTCAGAGGCATCACACTTCCCAACAACAAACGTCAGAGGGGAGAGAGCAAGTTCTTTCCAGATGCACTTGGGTGAAGGTCAGACAGTGTCCCTGGCTGAACTGTAATGGTAAATACCATGAGACCCATAGGATCACACCTGTTAACCTGTCAGAGCTGAGGATCCAGAATTTCATGCATCCTTTCCTGTGTGAGAAAGGCTGCTAGCACTTTTATCTCAGGGCAGAGACCCACCATGAGCAGGGGGTGGTAGGGCAGGGGAAATAGGCCACAAAGCAGAGGAAATCCTGTAGGTCATGCACAGCGGAGTGATGGCAGAGACACTGAAATCACAGCGCAGAGGAAATCCTGTAGGTCATGCACAGCGGAGCGATGGCAGAGACGCCGAAGTCACATCGCAAGTCCTCACACAGCCACCATTTCCCACCCACAGGACCTGCCACATGCCTGTGAAACCAGGGGCAGGTCTGAAGGTTAGACATCCCACTCTCCCACAAGGCTAAGATCTGAAATCCAGCAGGAGAGGCCTGCTCCAGCCCTCAAGAATTTAAAACTAGCCCCCAGTCAGCCCCCAGCAACAGTACTGACCCAGTAACATCAGAGGCCAGCAGGTCAGTCAGGCTTCAGGGCAGAGAACAGAGCTTTTCAGCTCAGGGAAGCAATGTCCCCCTTTGGTCTGTACTGTATTTGTTTACACTGTGCCTGAGGACCAAGAAATTACAACAGGAAAGGCACAAAGCTACACAGAGAAACCCTGTCTCGAAAAACCAAAAAAAAAAAAAAAGATGGTATTTTTCCTCAGTCGGATTAAGGGCATGCATGAAAACTCTACAGCTAACAAAGGTTAATGGTAGAAGACTGCCTGGCACTGGGAAAGGCCACTCCACTCCACCACTGCTTTCCCACGTTGCCCCGGAGGTCCTGGACGCTGCTAAGGTGAGACCCTGCAGCAGAAGGCACAGCCGTCATAAAGGGAGGGAGTTGTGGAGATGTCAGCTGTGTGCACAGAAAACCCTAAGCGGATTCTACAAAAGAAGCTGCTGACGTGACCCATTGTAGCTTGAGTTTTCCTGACTGGCCCACAGTCAGGACAAATCTCTGACATCCGCCAGTCCCACAGCCACTCAAACCCGACCAAGTAAACACAGAGACTTATATTGGTTTTAAACTGTATGGCCATGACAGGCTTTTTGTTAACTGTTCTTACAGTTTAAATTAATCCATTTCCATTAATCTATACCTTGTCACATGGCTCGTGGCTTACCGGCATCTTCACATGCTGTTTCTCATCATGGCGGCTGGCAGTGTCTCTCTCACCCAGCTTTTTGTTTTCTTAATTTTTTTTTTGTTAGTCTTGCCTATACTTCCTGCCTGGCCACTGACCAATCAGTGCTTTATTCATTGACCAATCAACAACACATTTAACATACAGACCATCCCACAGCAACCCATGGGTGAAAGAGATCACAGGAGATGAGGCAAAGGGCAGGACAACTGAGCTCCCACAGTCCCGCCGGGAACACTTGGGAAGTGCGGTAGAATGGTACTGTGCACCACAGCGCCAGAGCCATAACTTCTGTGTGGGTGAGAAGAACTATGTAAAAGCTAAAACTAAAAACTGCCAAGAAAGCATATGGGAAAATATCCCTGACAGCTGGGAAAACATGAAAAGTATGATATTTGTTTCCAGTCACTACAAACAGTGATGGATTCCAGGTGGACCAGAGACTTAAAGGGTAATTTTTGTATGGGAAATATAGGTACACATCTTTTTTTCTTGAGTGCAGAAAGATTCCTTAGGCCACAAAAATACTATGAAAGAAATAAATAGACAAATTTGGGTGTATAAAAATTAGGAACTTAAAACTTTAAAGTAGTGAAATCAAAGCTAGAAATTGAGAAGGTGTGTATGTGTGAATATACATAGATCAGTAAGTGTCCAGAGAGCAAGAGGGTGTGTGTGTGACTATACATAGATCAGTAAGTGTCCAGAGAGAGAGAGAGAGAGAACACTGATTCAAGACTACTTGGAGAAGACCAAGGAACCAATATGGAAAGAATAAGCCTAAGAGGAAAATAGACAAAACACACTTCACGGAAGAAGAACTGTATGAGGCCAACAAACATGAAAATGAGCATTTTACTTCACAGTAATCAGGGAAATGCAAATGTACGAATCAATCAGCTCGATGCATTTAGCTGGCCACATTTCAGAAGTTTGGAATCCTATTGGTGAGAACACGGACAACAGACTTTCTTATCACTCGGTAGAAGGACTATAAGTTGCCAAAAGGGCTTGGAAACGATTTGGCAATTTGCTTGTTGACTTAACTACCACTGCAGGCTATGTCTTAACAATCCCATTTCCCAGTAAACCTAAGAAACTCACCTATCTACTCCAGGATATCCGGAGAACCTCTACAGCAGCAGTTTTTGTAGTTACCAAAAGAAAAAAGAAAAAATCTAGAATCAACACAAGTGCTCACCACATAAGAAAGGATGAAACATGATGTAAGCAACTACGGAGTATTAAACAGCTGTGAATGTGGTGAACCACAGGGACCCACAACAGTATGGCAGTCTCCTACTGATGAAATGTCAAGTGAGGAAGAACACCCATCGTGGCACCCTGTCAATAAAGTTCAGAAGCAACGAAAACAAAGCCATGTCTTCTTTAGGCAATTCAAAACATTTCAAGAATGAATTTTAGGGCTGGGAATGGTGGCACATGTCTTTAGTCTCAATACTCCAGAGATAGGAGCAGAAGGATCTCTATGAGTTCAAGGTCAGCCTAGTTTACAAAAAGAGTTACAGGCTAGCCATGGCTACATAGTGAAATCCTGTCTCCCAAAAGTAATTTAAAAAATAAGTTTCAAGAGACAGAGAAATGATAGACACAGGTGTTGGGTGTCATACAGAGGGGAGGGACCTGTAAGCCAGTGGGTAGATACACCACTCTGGCTTCTGGTTCCAGCACTGTCAGCCAATGCCATTTATTTAGTCCTTTTTTAAAATAACTTTTAGATTCCTATATTTTATGTATATGAGTGTTTTGCCTGCATTTACGTATGTACACCATGTGTTTAACTGAGGAGGCAAAAAGGGCATTGGATCCTCTGGAACTGGAGTTACAGAGCCACCATATGGGTGCTGGGAATCAGACCTGGGTCCTCTGCTAGAGCAATAAATGTCCTTAAGCACTGAGGCATCTCTCCAGCCCCCACATTTATTTACTTCTTAAGTGTGAAATTAGACTTTTCTCAAACTGAACATTCAAATTCAGGAGCACAACTTCCCGTTTAAAAGAAGCATATGGTGAACATTTTAAAGCTGCAGATTGCCTCCCACAAACATACTAGTTTTATATGTGTGTGCTAGATACAGAACTAGCAAGGTCAGACATCAGGCGTTTCCTGCCACACCTTGGTGGCTGTGGGTCCAGAGGAGTCTTCAGAGAGACTCTTCAGTGGTTCAGAAGCAACTGCAGCCACTTTGTAGATAGGAGCCAGGCATGAGACCTCCATGAATAACCCTGATTTGGCCTCTGAGTATCGAGGAGTATTGTAAACTTGCTCAGAACCTCAGAGATACTTGACATCCATTTGCATATAGGTTAATACGGCCACCTTGCTTTGTTCTTGGGAATCTCTCCTTAGAGGTAGATGAGTGCCAGTCTCAGCCATGCCTGCATGGCGGCTCATGCCAGGACCTCAATGCCGGTTACCAGTGCCTCTGCAGCCCAGGGTACGAAGGAGTCCATTGTGAGCTAGGTAAGAGGTCTGCTTAAAGCAACGGGGCTCCCCGGGGCCACCTTGTTCTATCACTTCTTCCCTGGGACAGAGCTCTATCTAAATAACCATCCCGTTCCCTGCTTGTTGTCTTAGGGCCATTCTGATGGCCAGGATAGATTTTAAAAGCTCTCTGTCCCCGCCTGCCCTGGGAACTGAGAGCTCATCTGAAAACTACTGGCCTAGCAATCAGACTCGGGCCTGGGGATGGGGCAGAGAAGATGGGCAGGTCACAATCCTTGATACCTGCGGAGAGCAGAGGCCTGACCAATACCTGACAGGGTGAGACCTGCATCCCTTGTGGCTGTGTGAAGCTCTGAGCCCCAAAACAGAGACTGGCTTCTGGAAGGGAAAAGCCCAGGAGCGGTTTCCAGCTGTAATGCTAGAGAGCATTCAAGCCTGGAGTACAGAAGCAGTGACAGGGATGGCAGGGTGCTTTGCTGGAAATGGGCAGGATACCAGCCAAGGAGGAACCAGTGTAGGCAACAGAAGGAAGACTGTAGTCCAGGGTCCAGACCCCAGGGATGGAGGCCTCGGGGTCATCAGGGAGCAATTGGAATCCTGGGGACATGCAGGGAGCTCCAGTATGAGCCAGTCCTGTCCCCTGTCTCTGCAGAGACAGACGAGTGCCAAGCGCAGCCCTGCAGAAATGGAGGCTCCTGTAGGGACCTGCCCAGGGCTTTCATCTGCCAGTGCCCTGAAGGTTTCAGTGGAGTCCACTGTGAAACAGGTAGGGCTCTTTCAGGTGGGTCCCACAGAACCAGGGCTGCTGGGAGATCAGAGGGAAGCCAGGAGCCATCCTCTTGCTGGACAAGCCACCCAGGGAAAGAAAACCCCCAAGGCTGTGGTGACCTGGAGGGAGGAAGGAAACTGGGCGGGGGGGTCCCTGAGAGCCCCTCCTACCCACAGGTGCGCCATACCCCTCTCCTGGCCATTGCTCCTTGCCTCCCCCTATCCCTTCTTCCCGCTGTCCTCTCCTCCCTCCCCCAGAGTCCCTCCCTGCAGCTCGGGCCAACCCTTTGGGTGTTCTCCAGAGGTGGACGCCTGTGCCTCCAGCCCCTGCCAGCACGGAGGCCGGTGTGAGGACGGTGGTGGGGCCTACCTGTGCGTGTGTCCAGAGGGCTTCTTTGGCTACCACTGCGAGACAGGTAGGATCTCAGGCCTACCTGCTCACCGAGGGCCCTTCCCTGGCCCTCTCATCTCCTTGGTAGCCAGCCCTATTTGCCACCTCCACCTTCCTCCACTCCCAGGAACACATGCTCAGTCCATAGCTCCACATCTACCTTGACTGGCTCTGCTGTCCCTAGGCAGGCTGAGCCTGCAGCCCCAGAGCCCTGTGCTCAGCGTCCTCTCTGTGGAGAACCCTTTCAGCTATTAGCATATGGTAGGTCCCTCCACCAGGCCTTTCCTGGCGCTGGTAGTGGTGGCAGTTTATCCCTGCTCATCATTGCTCCCGGCGCTGGAGTGCTCCTGGACAGCACTCTACTCATTCTACTCACTCTCTAGAATAGTCTCTGTCTCAGCCTGAGACCAAGCCCCTCCTAAATGGGAGCACCAACCTAGAGCCAAGCTTGTTTTTGGCCATGCGGCGCCTGGCAGGTAGCACTTAGCTATGCAAGGCAGAGAGAGACAGCAGATGTCATGACGCCACCCCACCCCTCCCTGACCCATGCCACCCATGCGACAAGAGGCCCGGGTACGAGAAAAGGACAAACCCCAGTTCCCCTCCTCACTGCCGTTTCCCCCCTCAGTGAGTGACCCCTGCTTCTCGAGCCCCTGTGGGGGCCGCGGCTACTGCTTGGCCAGCAACGGGTCCCACAGCTGTACCTGCAAAGTGGGCTACACAGGCAAGGACTGCACCAAAGGTGAGGGCCAGGAGCTCCGGGCAGGAGGATGGAGGAGCAAGGGGGCCAGAAGGTAGGCCGGGGGCCCGGCGGGAGAGATGGGCAGACAGCTGCTGACCTAGGGCCCCTTCTTGAGAGCGGGCAGGAGGTCCCAGCAGCCACTCATGCGGAAATACAGACCTCCAAGGGCCATAGCAGCCCAAATGAGAAGACTCCCCGCCAGCAAGGCCTTGGGTGACCAGGCCCCAGAACCAATCTAGGTGACATGACTGGGAGCTACTCTTTCGCGCTCAAAGTCTAACCCTCCACCTCCCTTGTGTTTGGTGACAACCCTGAAGAGCTCCTCCCGCCAACAGCTCTCAGGGTGGAGAGGGTGGAGGAGAGCGGGGTCTCCATCTCCTGGAGCCCCCCTGAGGGCACCACAGCCAGACAGGTGCTGGACGGCTATGCGGTCACCTACGCCTCCTCGGACGGATCCTTCCGGCGCACAGACTTCGTGGACCGGAGTCGCTCCTCTCACCAGCTGCGGGCCCTGGCAGCCGGCCGTGCCTACAACATCTCAGTCTTCTCAGTCAAGCGAAACACCAACAACAAAAACGACATCAGCAGGCCTACAGCACTGCTCACCCGCACCCGTGAGTTCCTGAAGGTGGCCTGGCCACGGCTGCCCAGGAGAGGAGCTTGTGCCCGCTCACAGTTCAGCAGACATCTCTGTGTGGGGGCTGCCCTTCCTGTAGGGAAGGGCACGGTAACCAGAAGGGTAGATCAGAGAAGGGACTGGGAAGAAAGGAGCAGGCACTGGGCTGGGCAGTGAGGGGCAGGAGGTGTGGCATCCACTGAGCCTCCTGTTGCCCTGCAGGACCCCGCCCTGTTGAAGACTTTGAGGTCACCAACGTTTCAGCCAATGCCATCGCAGTGCAGTGGACTCTTCACAGGATCCAGCACGCTACTGTCAGCAGGGTTCGAGTGTCCGTCCTCAACCCTGAGGCCACGGTGGCCCAGTCCACTGAAGTGGACAGGAGTGTGGACCGACTCACATTTGGGTAAGAGACGATGCCGCAGGAACACAGAGGCCCAGAGTGTTCCTTGTGTATCGGCACACTTGCCGTCCTTCACCTGAGTGGGGCCGGGGCCTGGGCGAGCCAGCCTCACTGGGGACATGTGCCTGCGGGCGTGTGTGTGTGTGTGTGTGTGTGTGTGTGTGTGTGTGTGTGCTGTCCTGCCTTGCCTAGCCTCAAGCCACTACAAAGAGCAGTACCCTGACAGTATTGCAAGGACCCCATAAAGTGTAAGAAAGCTCTAAAATCCAGGTCTGTAGGCATGTCCTTCCCAGAATTGCCAAAACCATTTTTTTCTTTATTTTTCAGATTGACTTATTTAATTTTATGAGTGGTTTGCTCTCATGGGTGTCTGTGAACCTTCCATGTCTAGTGCCACAGAGGTCAGAATGTGTCAGGTCTCCTGGAACTGGAGTTATGGACGGTTGTGAGTCACCATGTGGGTGCTGGGATTGAACCCGGGCCTTCTGCAAAAACAGCAATGTTCTTAACTGCCCCGGCCAGCAGGGTCTCAACGGGGGGCGACCCACCTGCGGGAGAGAATGAAAGGGACGGGGAGACACGAAAGGAAGACAGAAAGACAGTGTTCTGATCAAGCTGCAAATGTTATTCTCCTCAGCAAGGCTTATATAGCATGGGAGGGGGAGAGGAGGAGGGAAGGGGTGCAGTTGAGGGGAGACGTGCAGGTGAAGGGAGACTTGCAAGTCATGAGGTTGCAGGATGTTGTACTAGGTGGTAAGGTCACTGGTCAGGGCCCATTGTTCTGTTGCTATGCTACCTGACCTACCTGACCTGTTCTTTATCTTTGGGGGCATCTGGTTTAGGGCAGGGGCTTGTTCTCTGGCCTAGCTAGTACTTTTCCATGGTCCATGTTTGGTCCCTGACACTTAACGACTGAGCCACCTCTCCAGCCCCCCAAGACCACTTTCCAAAGCTTCTTGTTCCTTCTTGCAAACTAGTCAGCCCGCTGTGCTGAGGACAGACTGCCTTTGTATTCGGCCTCCCCGGTTCTTTTCCGTTTCTGGCAGACCTCCTGTCTCTTCAGTCCATTTGTTTAAACACCGCTCTCTCATTTTGCTGCACATCTCTCTTTCAATCTTGGCCTGAGCACCAAGGTTGCCGCTTCGGTCTCTGTCTGGTAGATCTGTAACACGTCTTCTTGGGCAGCTCCTGACTGCTTCTCTTCCCCTTTGAATGTGCCATACTTCCATTGCCTCTTTGTGATTTTGTGTTTTATTAAAATCGGCTGTTGGAACCAGAGGATGCAGAACTCTGGGACTGATTCTCCTCTTGCATTTTGTTTTGGTTTTAATTTTTTTGTCTTGTCATACGTTATCTCTGATAAGGTCAGCCCAGGTCACTGGACCCTCGGCTGCATAGTCACTGTCCCATTTTCTCTGGATATGTAGCTGGGGTTGGAATGCCCTCTTCTTTAATGCCTGGCTCCCCAAATAGGAAGCAAAGAAAACTGAAGTTGGCAGAGGGGCACTGGCTTTGGGATTCTCTGGATGTTGCATCATCACTGGGTGGGACAGGACTAGCAACAGTGGAGGGGGAACAACTGGCCTCCATTCCTCTGTGGTCAGAAGCAGCGAGTGGGGACCCCCTAACACTCAGGGTAAGGCTTCTTTTTACCATTCCTGCATCCTGGCAGGTTGCTCTAAAACCCAGACCATGGCATGGACATTACATGGGCCTACACAGAGACTTTTTCAAATTGTCCCATTTCTGGACTTCACATCTGAACATGTGTCCTCTGACCACACTGTGGCTATTTTCACACCCTTCTCTCTTCTCACTAGCTAGTGGAGAAACTTCCCAATCCTGGAGCACTACAGTCCAAGGGCTGACCACTGGTCTGCCCCTCATGGAGGTGGCCTGAACCACTAGCAGCAAAATAACCCTACTCCTGGTCATACAGTGCTAGCCACAGACCTCTAGATGGTCCTCTCCTCCTTGCCCCCTCTGGCAGGGACCTGCTGCCAGGAAGAAGATACATTGTGCGGCTAACCACCCTCAGTGGGCCTGGAGGAGCTGAACACCCTACTGAGAGCCTGGCCTCAGCACCACTGAACGTGTGGACCCGTAAGTAGACAGGCAGTTTCCGCCTCCAGTCCTCTCTCATGCGTGGCACCCTCTAGACCTAGGGCCTCCCTCCTGGCAGCCTATCCTTTCCAAAGTGTCCTTATACAATAAACCCAGCCCTGACCTCCCTGAGATCTCTTCACTGAGGGAGAAGTCCTCTGCCAGAGACATTGTCCAAGACTGCTTCCAGCACCTGAGTACACAGAGACATTCCTCAGTATGCCCGCCATGGAATACATCGGAGTCCAAAGAGCAGGCTGGGATGAGGACACGCAGGGCTTTGGGGCCACGTGATCAGCCTACTCTAGCTACACTTCTTGACATTACACATGCTCTTTCCATGGTATGGATTGTAAGAAGGGAGTCTGTGAGCGGTGGAAGTTTGTGAAGCCAGGATGATGGGTGGGGACAACTCCCTACGCCTCCCAGACTCAGGACTTCCCATCTGTGGCCCTTCGACACTTGAGGAAGCATGTTGGAGGTGTGATCTAACCTCTGCATACAAGTTTCCCACACTCCCCTGGGATGGCAGTGTCAACAGTAACCCAGGCTGGTTTCAGATGCTCCTGATCCCTCTCAGATCTTAGGTGATGTTTCACCAGATGCCCTTTGACCTGATTTTCACTTCCTCCTTCTGTCCCTTCCTCATTCAGGGCCTTTACCTCCAGCAAACCTGACTGCCTCTCGAGTCACAGCCACCTCTGCCCACGTGGTCTGGGACACCCCCAGTCCTGGTATCTCACTGGAGGCTTATGTCATCAATGTGACCACCAGTCAGAGCACCAAGAGCCGCTACATCCCCAACGGGAAGCTGGTGTCCTACACAGTGCGTGACCTGCTGCCAGGTCGGCGGTACCAGCTCTCGGTTACAGCTGTGCAGAGCACAGAGCAGGGCCAGCTGCATAGTGAGCCTGCCCACCTCTACATCATCACCTGTGAGTTCCATGAGAGGTTGGGGCTGGTAGTTGTTCACATCCACAGCTGCTGCTGCTTGTTCTTGGGGTGTGGTATCCTTGCCCAGAAGAGGTATTGAAATTTCCTCGGGGGCCTGCCCTGAGGAGATTTCTCCCAGAGTCCTAGCGAAGACACTACTAACGGCGGGGTAATCTGAAGGAATTAATCTAAATACACTGAGCTCTACAATCCACTTACTTTATTCCTCTGAGACAAGATTCTATCCACACAGCTTCAATTCTTTCCTTTTTCTCCTGTCCTTTCATAACTCTAAGTTCTTTTCCATCTCTGTCCTCATCTTCATCTTCTTTCTTCTTCATCCTCATTCCTTCTCATTCCTCTTCCCATGACCTGGTCTCAATACCCCTACAATCTGCAAACTCTGCCCTGCTGCCTTCTGGTCCGGCAGGGTAACTCTGCTCAGAGATAGGAAACCTGCCTCATAGCTACATTGCACCTGGTATATGAAAAAAGACGTTTTGTTCTGAGTCAATTGCTCTGGAATGCCATTTGGGCTGTGAGAGAAAGGAGGGTCGAGCTTCATTTGCACAAGAAACGAAGCTATGCACCTAGGAGACAGGCTGTGTCTCCACAAGGGTGTTTACCTTAACTCAGGGACCTCAGGTACCTAGTGGATGGCCTGACCAGCTATTCTATTTGTCCCTTGTCCTTGGATGCTTGCTAAAGGGGCTATTTCAGAAGGCAGATATCCAATTCAAATGCTAAAAAGGGAGCAGGAAACCTGGAGGCAGAAGACCTTGTCTTTGTGACTTTATCCAAGTACTTTAAATGTCTATGCCCAAGAAATGATCCATCCACACTGTTATAAGTTATTGGAGAAATTATGAGAGCACACATGAGGTTCATAGCAGGAAACAGCTGATATATTGAAAGCCGAATAACATCAAATACTCCTTGAGATTTGGCTTTTCCTCTGGAAGGATTCCTTGATTCTCCCAGGTAAAGCTTTACCATGTTCAGCTGAATTCTTACTACATTCCTGCAGCCTGCAGCAAAGAGGTAGCATAGACAACTGGCATGGGCCGTCCCTGGGAAGAGAGACACGGGCATAGGAAAGGAGGCTTTCACCCATGGGTAAGGAAGGACAACTGACAGCAATCTGGAAATACATATTTGTCAAGCCTCATCCTACACCGTTTCACCAATTTAATCCCAGGCAGGCTTAGCAGCAATGCAGGACCTCATTCCGAAAGAGCTACCAAGCAGGCAGCAAGGAAGAGGCCCAGGCCTGACCCAAAAGGAGCCACTGAACGTGGGATATGGCCAGAGACTACAAGTGACTTGGGAGGACAGGAAGGAACACCTGGACAGAGAGGGGCACAAGAAAAAGCTGGGGTGTGGAAGTTCAGGTGGCCATATTAAGGACCTTAGTCTGTTCTCAAGGGTGGCAGGGCACCCTCCTGGAACCCACAAGTGTCCCATGTGCCCTTTATTACATTCTCAAACCTCACACGAGGTGTGTGAAAAGTCTCAGCATCCTGAACACAGTGAGAAGACAAGCAGAGGGTACACAGGGACAGATGGCGGGTCTAAGAGCAGGGCCAGTGGCTCCTCGAGAGAGTGGGCCTCCAACGCCAGCCTTCCTAGGTCCCTCCTCCTTCCTCTTCCCAGCCCATGAGGCTGCTTTGTGAACACAACAGTGAATATGGTGCTTCTATACTATGCTAACTCTCAGTTTCAGCCCCACTGGTCTACCAGCTGGGCTCTAGGCATACCTGCCATGTAGAAAAACAGGTGGGGTCTCCCCGTGAGCCTGTCGTTGCAACCAAATCAGAGTCAGGAAGAGCCAGATAGAGAAGGAAGTCACCTAGCTTGAAGGACACTCTATGGTAACAAGGCCTGGTTGTAGGTCTGGCTGAAGCTGCCCATCAGGAAAACTGCTGACCCACAAGGCTATGATCCACAGCCTGGCATCTGCTTAGCAAATGAGAACTCTGCCAGGGAGTGTGACGGAGTGCTGGCCTTCCAGGCCAGTGTGTCTGTTGCAACATAAATGCATGGCCTCTGCTTAGGAAGAATATAACAGGTGACACAGGTTTCTCGGGCAACGTGTACCCCTCCCTCCCCTTGCCCAAGCAGGGCTGGATGTGAGCCGCCACTTCCCTGCAGTAGAGGCAGAGACAGGAACACCAGGCAACCTAGTTGGTGGTTACTTCCCCTTCCTTTTTTGCAGCCTCCAGGGATGGCACTGACAGACGTTGGCACCAGGGAGGACACCACCTCCGGATGCTCAGGAATAGACCGGCCCCTGTGCGCCTGCCAGAGCTGCGCCTGCTCAATGACCACAGTGCCCCTGAAACACCAACTCAGCCCCCCAGGTACACACGCTAGCCCCTGCCCTGGGTTCCGAGGCTGTGCTCAACCCTTGACCCTCCTACCCTGTCTGCAGGTTCTCAGAGCTTGTAGATGGAAGAGGAAGAGTGAGTGCCAGGTTTGGTGGCTTGCCCAGCAAATCAGTCACTGTGAGATCACGTGAGTGTTGAAGACTTCCTGGCACTGACATGGAAGTCAACCCTAGTGGTCTCACTGCCCTTGCCCCTGGCATAAAAACTGTTGAGGCCTTTAAAAGTTGGGTTTAAAAGATCGCACTAGCTGATGAGTCCACCAGCAACCTCAATCCTGACCGTGTGTGAGGCTTTAGACTTCCAGGGTGGCAGGAAGGGTGCCTGCCATCCACAATGGGAGGGCTCAGCAGGTAAGGGGCACTCCAGGAGGCTGCCTGTGAGAGGCCAGGCACCTAACCTCACTCTGTGGAGACTGAAAATGTTCGAGGGTAGAGCGCAGAGGGCATGAGTAGGAAGCGGAGGGACGGTGGGAAGCAGAGGGACGGTGACAAAAGGGTGACCCCAAGCCTCCTGTGAGAGAGGGAACACCTGTGGGCGGGTGGGCGGCCTGAGATGGGGAGGCGGGAACATCAGCCTTGCAGCTGGGGCCAAGAGCCCAGACTGCTGCAAATGCCGAAAAGGAAGAAAAGAGGCCACACACACACACACACACACACACACACACACACACACACACACACACGCCCAGGGAGCAGGGCTTAGGGAATGGACAGGAGAACCTGACCCTAGGAGGCAGAGAGTGCCCACACCTCAGCTGTACAATGAGGCCCCTTAGGAAGCAGCTCCAGGACAGTAGAACACATGTCTTTCAGAGGGGCGGTGGGAGTGAGGCCCAGCCTCCACGGGGGAACAGTGCTGGGGCCAGGGTGCTCCTTGCCAGTGTGTGGGATCCATGGGTGGGCCGGCAGGGGTAGGCCGAGGCATGAAGCAAGGGCCATGTGGTTACCCTCAGCTTCTCCTAGAACCCACCACTCTGGTGCCGCTCAAGAACACAGAGGAGGCCCCTGAGCAGGTCAACCTGGCCCTGCAGCTACCCAAGAACAGCAGCAAGGACACAGAAAGTAAGTCGTTGTGTGGCGGGGTGGGAGCAGGCTATCCGTCCTAGCTGCCGTAGTGAGAACGCCACAGTAGGAAGTTAGGAAGGAGGTACAGGCTCTGCCCAAGGGGCAGCTGGGCACCCCATCTAGGACACAGTCCTCTGCTTCATGATTGAGAGGAGCCAGAGAACAAGGCCAACCCAGGATCTGTCTTGGAAAGACTAGCCCGTTCTGCCTCTTTCAGTAATCGCTTACACTTTGCTCCTCACCCTCCCTGGGGATCCACTTCAGGCCCCCTAGCCTCACTTCATAGAAGAGGTACTAAGTCGGCCAGGTGAATAGTGAAGAGTGCCCGCTGAGCAAGCCCTGCCTCGAGGATGCCCCCCCAAGTTTGGCAACCTGTCGGGCTACTCAGCCTGGACCGTTCTGGTCAGCTGGTTGTCCCCACATAGATAGCATCGGGTCTATTTCCAGCACCTCTGGGCAAGTATCGGGCAGCACAAACTGATACCTGCTCCTTCAGCTGTCAGACCCTTGCTCTGTTCTCCCTCTAATCCCTCTAGAGATTGTGGATTAGAGGTTTTTAGGGCCCAGCGCTCCTTTCTCCTTCTGAGTCACATCAGGGACTTAGATTGTGTTCACCTAGCCCCAGAGAAGACCCAAGTACTTATGGGAGTGTATCTCAAGGTAATATCACCTGAAAACTCTGCCCTCCAAGGACACCTGTCCACGGTAAGTAAGGGCACTTACAGTATCAGAGGGTACATTTGCAAACAGAGGGCCCACTGATCCCTGAATTCGATATTCTCCCCAACCTGGGGGTACCTGTACCCGCTCTTGACCCCGTGCACACTGGGAGGGTGGTTGTGCACGCTGCAGCATTGAGGCACTCCTTATCCTAGTTTGCTCCGAGTGCAGACACACTGCTGCTGTGTGAGTGGACAAAAGAGACTCACTGGGTAATGTGTTACATCAGCTCCTTCAAGCCCTAGGTGTCCCTTCATAAAGCCCAAAACAGGGAAGGTGTGGGTTCAGTCTCCTGGGTTCCATCACAAGAGAAATCCAAAGAGGCTGCAGAACTGGCCCCAAGGACACTGTCACCCTACGGTGGGGTAAATTTCAGTGATAGCACAAGAAAAAGAATCCTTAATGGCCTCAGGTACAAAATTAATCATGATCTTTTGTTCATGCCATACTCATGCTATCTGTCTCTGTCAGTTTGGTTGCCTTTGATAATTCTGGAGCCCAGCTCATGCTAGAATCTGGCAGGAAGTTTTGTCTTGCGGGTTCCCCCCTCCCCATCCCCACCCCCGGACTCTCCTTGCAGCCCACCTCCACTCTGCACTCTGTGTCTGTGAGTCCTTAGTCTTGGAGTGGATGGCAGGAGGGGTAATTTTATTACACATTACAACAGAGATAGCTCACATCCGCAAGACATACACTTATCCCAGCTCTCAGTCACCTGAACTGCCAATCAAGTGTCCACATGAATGAGTCAATTCTGGGCTGTGTCTTTTGTTCCAACATTTTCCCTTCTGTGAGCCTATTCATTCAGTTTAATGTCAGTGACCTTAGTGTGAATTACACACTGCAGGACCAGTCCTCCCCTTTGACCTCTAAGGAGTCTCAATTGTTCTTCCAATTGTCCTTAGTTCTCTGCATGTTGGCTTTGTCTAGTCCCACAAGGTACTTGCTCAAACCAAGCTTCAAAGGCCATGCGTGCCTCTAAAAATCTTAGTAGCCCTCACATGTAAAGGAAACTGTAGCTGGGTATAATATGCCAGGTTTGAGGATCCTTTCTCCAGTGTCATCTGGTGTCCAGTCTTGTTCTTGTTTCCTTGAAGGTCACCTGATCCTTTTCTCTGGAGGAGCTGGAATTTTATTTCTCACATAAAAGAGTACCCCCAAAAGGCCCCCAGGAATCCCTAAAGCAGAGTTAATGCTTACAAAGGGTGTTTCCTCACTAAACAACTTTCCAGGTCAGGGGAGAACCTTCAGATCCACACAGAGGAGGCAGGTTCCCACACCAGCATGGGGTGGATGGACTTCAAGGGCAGGAGTGGAAGGGCAGGTGCTAACCCTCGGCATTATCCGTTTTCCCAAACTCCTCACCCCAGCAGGGTTTCTAGACTATTCTGGTTTATCCCCTATACCAGTAGTCTGGCTTCCACCAGAAGGACAGGCAGGTACCGTCCCCAAACAACAGCAGACAAGGACAAGACTTGAATGATCTGCTGTATAATTCACCCATGGGGAACAAAAGCACAATGCCCGCCACAGGGCGCAACCACACCCATTCACCACCTGATTCAAAAAAGGTGTGCTTACCTGCGTGCATGCATGCGTGTGTGCATGCGTGCGTGCGTGCATGTGTGTGTGTGTGTGTGTGTGTGTGTTTATGTGTATGTATGTGGTTTGTGTGTATTTTGTGTGTATGTATGTATGTGTTTATGTGTGTGCATGTGGTTTGTGTGTGTATGTGTATGTATTGTGTGTTTGTGCGTGCATGTGTGTGTTTATGTGTGTTTGTGGTTTGTATGTGTGTATGTGGTTGTGGTTTATGTGTGTGTATGTGTGTTTGTGTGGTGTGTATGTGTGTGTGTTTGTGGTTTGTGTGTGTGTGTGTGTGTGTGTGTGTGTGTGTGTGTGTGTGTGTGTGTGTTTAGTGGTGTTGGCTATACAGTATCAGGCTATAGTGGGTAGCTCCTATTAATCTTCCTAAGTCTCTATCAACTGCAGATTCAGCCCACAAATGACATGTGTCAGCCATGGTCTCCACAGTCCTGGCTGACCCATGCATGGAGGGTGGGGTTGAGGTGTCAAAACATGCTGTAAGTCAAGTGTGACACTGCTTAAGGACAGACATGTAACTGTATGGGCCAGAATGAAGAGTCTAGAAATAAACCCACATGTCTATCATAAACGGATTCTGACAAGGGGAGCAAGCTACCACATGAGCAAAAGACAGTCTTCTCAACAAGCAGTGACGGGACGCAGGATGTCCACACACAAAGGATAAAGCTGACTGCTACCTCACACATAAACCTCACACCCACATTAACACAGGACAGCCCCAAGTGTTCAGAGCTAAAAACCTCTGAAGGAAACATAAGACCTTAGGTTTAGAAGAGGGTTTTTAGATACGGCACCAAAAGTATGAGCAACAAAAGAAGAAGAAAAAAAAATGGGGTTTCATCAAAATTCAGAACTTCTGAATTCAAAGGACACATTAAGAAACTCAAGGAAGCTGGGCAGCAGTGGCGCACACCTTTAATCCCAGCACTCAGGAGGCAAATCGAAAAACCAAAAAAGAAACCCAAGGAATGGGAATAAATATTTCAAACCATATAACTTGTATCTAAATTTGCAAAGAATTCTTTTAAATGAAGAAATAAATCAAACAAGATGGCTTGGGATAATAATAAGCCATGCTGAGATGTGGAGAAATCAGCCCTGAGGCCACTGCTGGGAATATAAAGCTGCTTGGGGTGGGGACAGACCAGTAGTTCCTCAAAGTAAAACAAGAGTTACCATGTGACCCGGAAATTCTACTATTAGGGGCATAGCCAAGAAAAATTCAAGCATGTGTCAATGCAAATCTTATATATGATTATTCATGGAATCTTCATTAGTTGTTGGTTGTTTGTTTGGTTGGTTTTTTCAAGACAGAATTTCTCTGTGTAGCTTTGGAGCCTATCCTGGATCTCACTCTGTAGCCCAGGCTGGCCTCGAACTCACAGAGATCTGCCTGGCTCTGCCTCCCGAGTACTGGGATTAAAGGTATACACCACCACCGCCCATTAGTAATCACCAAAAGAAAAATAGCCAAGCCTGCCAACTGATAATAGACTGTGACATGTCTACCCAATAATGTCATTCAATCCTAAACAAGAATAAAACTCTGTTACATGGAGGAACTTGAAATGGTATACTACATGAAAGAATTCAGGCACAACAGGCCATGTGTAAGAAGATTCCTTTTCATGAAGGTCTAGAATACGGCTATCTATGGTGATGGGAAGTACTTGGTAGCTCCTCAGGACAGAGATGGAGATATAGGGAAGCCAGCTAAAGAGTATGAGGTTTCTTTTAGAAGTGATTAAAGTAGGGCTGGAGAGATGGCTCAGCGGTTAAGAGCACCTGATGCTCTTCCAGAGGTCCTGAGTTCAATTCCCAGCAACCACATGGTGGCTCACAACCATCTAAAGTGGGATCTGATTTCTCTTCTGGCATAAAGTTGTACATGCAGACAGAGCACTCACATACATAAATAAATAAATCTTAGAGAAAAAAAACCTCAGTAAGAGAAAAAACAAAAAACAAAAACAACAAAAAAGAAGTTATTAAAGTATTCAAAAATTGACTCTGGGGGGCTGCTGGGATAATCTCAGTGACTAAAGTCACTTGCTGCCCAGCTTAAGTTCTGTCTCCAGAACACACGTGGTGGGGAGAGCTGACTTACACAAGTCCACTGACCTCCACATATGTGTCACAGCATAGGTGTTCACACACATAGACGCATAAAATAAGCAAGAAGTAGATGTGACTTTTTAAAAATTGACTCTGGGAGCTGAAGAGATGGCTCAGTGGTTGAGAGCACTTGCTGCTCTTACAAAGGACCCAGGTTAGGTTCCCAGCACCCACCCAGCAGTTAACAACCATCTCATCTGTCCCAGGATATCCAGTGACCTCTTCTGATCTCTGCAGGCACTGCATGAATGTAGTACATACACTTACATGCAGGCAAAACACTGATACACGCAAGATAAAATCTTTTAAAATTTTAAGAATAAATAAAAATTGACAGTAGTAATGGATGCGTATCAGTGAATATGCTAGAAACCAATGAATGTTTTATGATCTATAAAACCTCAAAATAAAGGCTTCTTTTAAGAAGTGGAAAAATGGGAAGGGAAATGAGAATATATGTTTCTTATGTTTAAAAATAAATCAAACTAATAAAGATGGTGAGTTATCTGAGGAAGGGAAGAGCAGGCATGGGGAATGGGAAATGGATGGTTTCTGTCTATCTTGTTTGATAATTTTGACTTTAGAAAAAATATTTATAAACAAGCAAACACACAAGTCAGCGGCAGAGTCTGGAAATGGGAGCTCATGGGGCTGTTTGCTGTGGCGTCTGCTTCGTCCTGTGTCAGCAGTGGCACTGGTGCTGTCTGAAATCACGCCACGTGTGCTGTAGGAGAATGGTCACACTCGTGTCGTGCGGTTTCAAGTGTGGAGACATAAAAACACGAGGCTAAGAAGTTAACACCTTCCTTTGTTTTTATCTTTGAACCGAAAATATTGGTATAAACTCCAAAACTTCACACAGGATTTCGCTATACATCCCAGGCTGGCCTCTAACTTTTGATCCTCCTGCCTCAGTTTCCCAAGTGGGATTATAAGTATTTAGTTTTTTAAAGCCTAATATCCTGTTTTTGTTCCCTAGAAAGGCCTTAGGCAGGACAGCTCAGGCAGACTGTCGGCTCCAGACATGTTTCCATGAACGTGGGGAAATGGCAATTCAAAGACCAAGGCAGGATATAGAGTGAGCCCTGCATACATTGTATAAAACGGAAGAGTCGGCAGGACTGTGTTCACTAACCTGAAAGGGTTCTCATTAGACAAAGATGGGACAGCGTGAAACCAAGAACGCTAATGACAGTTGTCCTTGTAGTGGGCCAGATCATCAGGAGACAGTCTGCAGAGCTGGCAGGCCTCCCTGGGCCCTGAAGCTAATAACATCGCCTTCCTGTTCCCAGGCGCCCCTGGTAGCTGTTCAGAAGATGCCTGTCAGAATGGAGGCACCTGTGTGCCAGGTGCCAGTACCCACAGCTGTGACTGCAAGCCTGGGTTCAAAGGCAGACACTGTGAGCTCGGTAAGTCAGAGCTGGTTACTGGCCTCAGGGCAACTGTCACAATGACCTGGGACTTGGCCCTGGGGCTTTCCCTAAGGGCTTCCAGTCTGTAGGATAACAAAGAGCCCAGGTAGGAAGGATGGTGTATGTGGGGCCTCAGAGATGGACCATGAACTACAAGGGACAGAGGGCTGCTCAAAGCACGGGATGGAAGGAACTGCCCAGAGCAGAGACTAGGAAGTCAGGGACAAGGGCGGCGATTGCAGGGCAGCATTTCAGGAGCCAGACTGATGATGAGAGGGAACACATGTGGACTGAGTACATTTGGAAGCTCCCACAAAGACACAAAATAATCCTGAGGCCACAGGAGCCTTAAGGAAAACCAGGCTGCAGATACTGAGCACCCTGAAGCAAAGCCCCAAGCCAGAAAGTAGCTGGCACAGATCCCCAGGCTGACGCAGGCTGCAGGGATCTTCCTTGGGCAAAGGTCTCTCTTGGGAGGCAGAAACAGCCTCCTCCTAAGAGCTGGCCTTTCTTTCTCCTTTGTGCCATAGCCTGTGAAAAGGTGCCTCGTCCCTGCACACGGCTGTTCTCTGAGACGAAGTCGTTTCCTGTCTGGGAAGGAGATGTCTGCCACCATGTGTAAGTCAGCTCTGCCTCTGCCTTTGTGCGCTGGTGTGTTGTGTCCTTATTACCCGAGTAGGGATGGAGACTGCAGATACTGGCTTCGACCACTTCAGCCCATGAAGCTCAAGAACTGATTGAAGAGGACACAGGTTGACTCCTATGCATGGAAGCCTTCACACAGTTCCAGGACCTGACTCTCCTCCTTCCCTTAAAGCCCAGAAATCAAAGAGCACATGAGAACCCCAGTCCCAGCTCTACTATTAACCCAGCATGATGCGGCGGTGGGCAAATCCCCATTGCCTCAGATTCTCCGTCTGGACTAGGAGGAAAGACTGCTTGTCTCATCTCTTGATACCCTCCTTGCTATAGCATGCGATGGCTCTGGGTCACTGTGTCTGAGTGCCTGGTAGTTCCAGGCACTCAGGGACCAGACGCTTGTGCTCTAGATAAGGACAGCCATAGCAAAAGCACATTTGCTACACTGTACAAGAAATCAGGGAGTTCCCAGGAAACAAAGGAGAGATGAAAGCCTAAGGTGAGGAGAGCCAGGAATGGAGGGGACAGGAGTAGGCTTCATGGGAGAGGGACACTGAACAGAAATGGAGGAGCTGGGGATATCAGAGAATGTGCCACACATTGTTACAGTGTTACAAAGTCCTGCATCGGGTTGTGTCCAATATGTCTGAGGAACAGCAGAGGCCAACAGAGCAGAGTGTGAGTGAGAGAAGAAAGGAGAGTTTCTGGGATCTTGGAGAACCTCAGATGGACTGTGGTGTTATTCTCCATGAATCATGGAGATCCTGAAGGGCTCTGCGCAGAAGGTGATGTGTGACCACGGTGTTCAAGCCACTCTGGATGCTCCTCGAAGGAAGAGGAAGCAGATGGAAGAATGGAGGGGAAATGGTAGAAAGCTTGTCCAAGCTTGATGCAAAGGCAGGCTTAATCAGAAGGGAAGAGGTAAAAGGTCCTGATCTGTATGGGTTTGGGGAAGCAGCTATGACCACCATTCACCCTGGGCCCACGATGGCAATCTAATGGACCAACATCATCCTCTGGCTTCCAGCTATTCTGGTTATACCAGAGCCTGCCTCTGTGTTAGATGCCACTGCCATGTGAGGAGAGTCCTTCACTCACCAAATTTTCTATCCCGTTCCTATCTGCATCTTTGAAGAGACTCCCCTGTAGCTAACACATAGGAGGGTCTTGGTTATATTCAGTCTGAACTGTCTTATTACAGTTTTTACATTGCAATGAACATAATGGGCTGTGTGGCTGGATTTAAATCTACATATTTATTTCTATTTATTCCATCCAATCCTTACTGCTTTTTCCTCTTTTCTGGCTCATTTTGGATTACTGGCGCATAGATTATACTTGTTTTGTTTTGTCCAGTAGTCACACTGGGATTTACAATACACATCTCCAGTTTGTCTCCGTTTATCTTGAGTTACTTGGATACAGTTATAGGAGGCTTCTACTGCCTCACCTCTGAGTCACCATCAGACCTCCTTCCATTTCCAGTGGTAAATGTCACAGCGCTGCCAGCCGCTTGTCGTTATCCAATGCTGAAGGTCTTGCTTTTCCAACCCGCATCATTCCTTTGTATGATCTAAGAGTCCACGGTTCTCTGCTCTCAATTGTCTGGAAAGGGTTTTGTGTAAGCTTCACTTTGGGCATAGCTATTTGTAAAGGATGACTGGTTGACAGTTACAATTCTCGTTTCAGCACTTCAGGTTAGAATTCTCTCTGTGACAACATACTTGGCATAAACAAGGTAAAGGAAGGGTCTGTTTGCCTCATGGTTAGAGGTTTCAGTCCATGATGGTGGAGGTCAAGGTGAAGTCATGGCATGGCAGAGCATACTTGGGCAGGCCCCCAGTCTGGGGGATGGTGCCATCCACATCATGGCAGCCTTCTCGTAGTGCTGTCGGCAAACACCCTCAGACACAACCAAGGATGTGCTTTACTACCCTGTGTGCGTCTCGGTGACATCCAGTTGGCAAGATTGGCCCTGTCACCGCCCCTTTGTCCTCTCCACCCCTGTGGCTACTTTTTTTATTTCCTCTTTGTTGCTGTTTCTGGCCAACTCAATCGTGTGTTTTGGTTTGGATACTGTTTTTTATTCCCTGAAATATTTATTACTTATTTATTTTGAGGTAGAGTCTCTCTTTGTAGTCCTGCCTGTCCTGGAACTCCATAATGTAGACCAGGCTGACCTCAAACTCAGAGATCTGCCTGCCTCTGCCTCCTGAGTGCAGGGATTAAAGGTGTGCACCTCCAGCACTGGCCTTCTTTGGAATTTGTTAATCTTGCATTTCTGGGGTTTTAGCTTTTGTCAAATCTGGGCCATTGTTCATATCTTCTTTGTTCCTCCATTTCTCTTCTCTCCTGCTAGAGCTCAATTATGAATATATTTGACTAATATTGTCCCCCAGGTCACTAAAGGTCTTTTTGTTGTTTTAAAGCACTGTAAATGGTGTATATGCAAATGTATCTATACTTCCTGTTGGGGAGTTTGTATTGCTGTGTGTTCAATGCCACATATCTTTTCTTTTGCATCATCTAGTTTATTATTAATACAGTTCAACAGATTCAATTTCAGGTATTTGTTGATGGTTGTTTGGTTAGCTTTTGGGGTTTTGTCATCATTTTTTCAGTCTTAAAAGGCTGCTCAGCAAGTCTGTGCCTCTGAGCAACAGCCCCAGAACAGATACTGGGTTGTATCATTGCTGCAGTTCTGTTTAATTCTTTCTTTGATCAGCCATTCCTCCCTTCATTTTGCTGATATTCCCCTTTACTTGCTGAACATGTGGGACAAACAGATGGTTGTGAGCCACCATGTGGTTGCTGGGAATTGAACTCAGGACCTCTGGAAGAGCAACCAGTGCTCTTAACTGCTGAGCCATCTCTCCAATATGAGACAAACAGATAGCAGATACTTTAAAGGTTTTCCTCTCATTTCTGAATTGTTTTCTAGTCAATTATTTTTCTACAGGTTGTATATCATATGCAGCTTTTGTATTTGTTTGGGGGCATTTTTGATTTTTGGTTCTTATGGCTCTTTGAATGTCATAATTTATCAGATGCTAAACAATATAAATTTCATATTACTGGATGGTGGATTTATTTGAATTCAAGAAAGGTATTTTTGTTGTTTTGTTTTCTGCAAGGCAGGCTTTGATTACAGTTTGTTCCCTTTGAGGATTTAGGATGGATTTAGAGAAGACTTCATCTAGGGCTAATTTCACCCCCTTCTGTGGCACTGCCTTCCTGGAGTCAAATGAGATCTTACCAGTCTTGGTTCAGGTCTAGCCTAGCTGCTCAGGACTCTAGCCCTGTGTGTGCACAGCTCGACTCTCATCACAGATTTGCAGACTGCTCCCCATGGAGCCCTCTCCACTCCAGAACACTCCTCCACAAGCTCCAGCTGCCTCTGCCTCTCCAACCCAGCCCGCATCCTCAACACTGTGACCACTGCCTACTCTCAACAAGTGCTCCGAAATGAATGGCAGTATTCTCTCAGGTTGATCTCTTCTCAGGGCATCCAGTTTTTCTTTGGGCTATTTTCTAGCTTCTAGAAGTAGTTACTCCCTCTATCTCCTCCAGTTCTCTGGTAGTTGAAGCTGAAAGTTAATCCCAGATCCTCTATTCCCTCAAAGTCCTCCAAAATGTCCTCCCAAACTAACATAAGCAAAAGCTTTTGTACCAGATCCCTGGTTTCTTTTCAATGGGTCAGACACGGAAATTCTAACAGGCCCAAACACATAGATCCCATTCCTACTGAATGGTATGAGATCTATAAGTATATCCCACTATACATGAAACTTGGAAGCTAAAGAGGCTTGCTAGCATAGTCTGATTAAAAAATGGGATGGGCAGGCTTCGATTCATCAGGCCTCCTGGTCCATGCTGCCTGCCTCTGAGGCTTACAGTGCCAGACTTCATGATCATGTTCTTGAAACATTCATAAAACAGAGGATCTGGGTGTCCTAATTTGCTTTCTGCTGCTGTGACAAAGAACACAACCTAAAGCAACTTGGGGAGGAAAGTGCTGACCTTATACTTTACAGTGTACTAACAGGGAAAGTCAAGGCAGGGACACAAGCAGGACAGAAACATGGAGGCAGGAACTAAAGCAGAGACCAGGAGGAACGCTGCTTATTGACTCGCTCCCTGTGGCTCATTCAACATGCTTTCCTATACCACCAGGACCGCCTGTCCAAGGGTTATACTATCCACATTGTCTGGACCCTTTCACATCAATCATTGATCAAGAAAAGGGTCCCACATATTGTCAGACTATAGACCAGTCTGATAGAGGCGTTTCCTCCGTTAAAGTCCCCTCTTCCCAGACGACCTTACCTTGTGTCAAGCTGACCAACAAACAAAACAAACGACAACAAAAAACACTAGCATATGGAGTCAGACCTTCCGAGGCCTCAGGACAAGTGGCCTGCCCCCAGCAATGTCCTGCCATTGAAATTTCAGTGATGCCTTTCAACACCATGATTCTGTCAGCATTCATGAAAAGGGACCCTGAAATGAATACTTTTTTATGTATGCTGTACTCAGTAAAATTAATTTTTAAGTCACTGGACCTTGATGTTAGACTTCACACACCCCCAGTAACATGTCTTAAGAAAATAGTGGTCTCTCCCTCTGTCCATACACAGCTAGATGAAACACTTAGACACCTCTCTGCCCAGGGCCTAGCGTCACAGAGTTTTCTTTTGACAACAGGTATAAGAAAGTCTACAAAGTTCACCAGGACATCTGCTTTAAAGAGCGCTGTGAGAGCACCAGCCTCAGGAAAACCCAAACAGGTATATCCTGGGGCTTTGCTGTCTTGCCTGCAGCTCTGTGGGTGGATGGGTCAGGAAGTGACAGGGTTGGATCAAGCGAGGCTGCTTGCCCGAAACTGCAGCTCGTGTGTGGCTGTACTCTGCTCAGAAACTAATGCCCACATACGCACATGTGGGTACACAGACAGGCCCAGCTGTGCTTGGAGGTGGTCACTCCGGTCCTGCACTGAGAATCGGGGATGTGATGGGAAAGGGCAGGCTATTACTGATAGGCCCAAGTGTGTAACTGTAAGTTTAGAACATCTTTTTACATTTCATCTCCTCACATCTGGGCTTTCCCCCAGTTCAAGGTAGTCACAGGAATCATTGCTGTTTAGGATCTTACTGAAAGTTATACTTAGGACATTATGTTCTGACGATGAGAATCCACCTTCAGGTATGTTCTCCATGGACCAATCAAAGCCACATATCCTTGCTTTGCGTGACTACATTTTAGGAAAGGCTGCGGTGTGCAGTCGTCAAGAGTGCTGCTTGACCTAAGTATGTCACGATCTCCCAGGGCAGCTCTTGCTCGCTTCCTTCCACATTCTTCCCACAATGCCAGGTTACTGTCTGCTCAGTCCACAACTACCACCTTCAGCTGGTTATGTACACCCGCCGGACTGAAAGTCCAGACTCCCTGTCAGTCTGTGTGGGCTTGGCTGGGTTATATGTGAGGAACAGATAAGGTTGACAGAGGTAGGGTTCTTTCTCACTAAACTGGTTTTCTTAATTATTTCAGGAAACAAAGTAACAGTCAAACACTGAAGAAATCTTAAACACACACTCCTTCAAACCAAGATCTGTTGAGAACTGGAGACACCAACATACCCAGCACCTTGAGCACTGAGGTTCTTCATCAGACACTGATGGCAGACTAGCACTGTGCTATTACAGACCCAACCAGGAAGGTTCCAGAATTCCCTGACTATAGCCTCCCTATAGATATAACCTGGTCTGGCCTTGCATATGAATCTGCTTACAGGTGGAAATGAGACTTTATGGGGAAGGACCTCTCTCTCTCTCTCTCTCTCTCTCTCTCTCTCTCTCTCTCTCGGCAGACCAGTTACAGTGAGGCAAGGCACAAGAACCACTGGCCCCTTCAGGGCAGTGGACTTGGGTGGTAGAAGGATCAAGGATGCCACACAACCCTGGGATGCTGGGAAGGACCTAAGGAAGTACCCCCACGACCTGTGAATGGCATTCTAGTGGTAGCACAGGGTGGGAGCCTTGCCATGTAACATCCAGGTGACCCTAAATACAGCCTCTCCTTGGGAGAGTTGCAGTGGATCCTGGAATTCTAAACACTAATAACCCTGAAATCAAAGAAACTTTGCCTGTTTGATCCGGCATGCTCCACCCACCTCCCCATGTATAAACTGTGAGAGGTTAAAGGGCATTGGATTTTTTTCACAACAGTCTGGAAAATAAGGGGTTACTTTGCAGAAACCCCTGTACAGCCTGAACTCAGCCCACAGTGACTTCTTATTGGCCTGACATCAATTGGGAATGACAGACTGGCTGGCCCAAGACAGTTTACTCCTCTTCCTTGGGAAAGCCAGAACAGTTCATCTTTCCAGTGGTGGGAGAGAGGCACATCTGGAAACCAGCCACTTCAGGAGTCACTTTTTCTTCTACAGTAGAGGACATGAAGGAGAAATATCCCCAAAGGCCTAAGAACAACCCAAAGCAAAGGAACTCCAGGCAAAGCTCATCCTAAGAAAAAGTGCTCACAGATATGACATCAGCATGGCTAGATCAGGGCATCAGAGCAGCAGGCTCTCAGACAGGCCCAAGCAGCAGGGCCTTTGCAGCTTCACCATTTCACATGGGAAAACCCTGCCTGAAGAGCAGCTGACCACACTCAAATCCTGTCCACTCAACAGCATCGCCTTCTCACCTCAGCCTCCAAGAATGCACACACAAAACACCCCCCAACACTTGTGAGCAACTTAACCCCACAAAGATCAAGAGTCCACCAATTATTTGGTTTTAAAATATTTGTATGGCAATAAGTCACATGAGATATTGATGCATCTCTTTTAAGAACTCACCCAGAAAATCCATGTTTATAAAAATGAATAATCCTCAGCTACTTACCACATACTGGCTTATAGAACACTTATTTTCAGAGCAACAGGGAAAACACACAAACATACACACACACACACACACACACACACACACACACACACACACACACACACACTCAAGATAAACATTCAAGGCTGCCCTGGGAAAAAGACCCAGTGCCATCACCAAAAGGCAGGCAGCAGAGGACCAGCAGCCTGTTGATTCAAATTTAAATCACAGGCTGAGCCCAGGTGTCCCCATAGAGGTGCGTATGTTCTCACTTCCATCCCTCTGCATCACGGCCAGCTGGAATTCTGGCGATGCAAGTTTGAATACAGGTCCCCTGGGGGACAGTGCCTGCTGCCTCCAGAGAAAGACAGTGGGTATAAAGAGGAATGTGTCTCAGTTTGCTGCTCTTCCTTCAAAGGGGTCGGCATGTCCTAGTAATACTGCCCGCCTCAAGAATTTCCAAAACCCAGGAAGATGAGGTCCAAAACTTAAAAATGAGACAAGTTCCTGACTGTAGCTGGTCTTCTCTAAGATCTCTGTGCTCAGATTTCTAGAAGAGAGACAGCCAGACCCGCACACCCAAGGACTCCTGCAGGGGGAGCACTGGAGCACCTATACTCTTAACCCAGCTGCTGGTTTCTGCCAGGACCTCTGTGAGCAGTGAGTGTGCAGTTACCTGGGTTAGCAGGCTCTCAGTTAGTGATGCTTCTCTGTGCTCAGAAACCCACCCCCAGATTCCAGGGTCAGAGAAGTGTCCCCTGAACCCTCAAAACATGGAGAAGAAAGGGCTCGGCTTTCACAAGAGATGAAAGAAGGGCCATGTGGAGACAGATGAGCTTTACCCTGCTCCCCTCATGTATACTGACCTAAAGAAGAAATGCTGATTACTACTACAACAGGGTTTGGACACTTGGTCTACAACTCAGGGGTTGGCAGGGCAGACAAATGCTCAGGCAGTATTTTGGGCTTTCAGATGAAATGACCTCTCTGGCACCCACCCAGTTCTGCTACTGTACTGCCAACATGGTCACAGATGTAGACAGCATGGCTGTGTTCCAATAAATCTTCATTCACAAAAACGGGCAGTAGGCCATAGTTGGCAGGCACCTGGTTTGTGAGATGATCCAAACCTCAGTCTTCTGTAGAGAAAGACATCTCCTGAATGACAAATCGCCATCAAGGCATGAAGACCCCTGAACCTTCATAGAAGAAAAGCAATCAGGATCCTTGTTCAGAAACCTAAGATATGCATACAGCACAGGAGAGCAGCAGGAGCTGCTATGTTCAAATCCGAAGGGAACACTTAGAGGCACAGGGCAGGCAGGCTCCAGGAGACAGTGTCCAAGGCTTCCTGTGATCTGTACCTCAAGCAGACGGTGTGGCCTACCAAGACGAACACACTTCACACAGCCTCCTCCTTCCACTCCACTCTCAACAAGGCTCCAAGCAGCTGTCTTCTCCTGCAGTGAGGTCAGAACCAGAAAAGCCAACCACAGCTTGATCCCTCAAGAGCAGAGCTGACCTGACTGGAGATCCGGCACCAAGAACTACATCCCGACCAGAGGCCTCCTGCCCTCCAGTTCACAAAAACGTGCTTTGAAGAATAACATTTATTTTTCACTAAAAATTTCTGAGCCTGTTTTTCTCTCTCAGGAAGGTGGAGCAGTCATGTCAAAAACTCACTACTATATCTTAGATACACACTGACTTATCTCCAGGGGCCTGGAGGGCCAAAGACAGGGCTCAGAAACCAGGTCCACAAACATATATGTCAAATTCCATGCGACACTGAGACCTGCCACCATCCCTCCGCATAAGCTACAGCATTAGCAGTGAATAGCAAGATCAAATGACATCATTGGAAACATAGATGAAACCTTTATACTATACGAATGACCTCAGGAGCCTCACCCACCAGGCAGATGTTCCTGTTTCCTGTTGGAGCCTATGTTTCAAACAAGACCCAGCCTACTGAATGCTGACTGTGGATCTTCAGAGTGGAGAAAGACTTGCTGGTGCTGAGGAAGAAGTGTGTATCATTCCAAACACGCTGCTTCTGCTTTCTCACACACCTTTCTTAAGCAGATTTATGCCCTTCAAAACAATTACTGTCCACTTGGGAAATGGCACAATGGAATCAGAAAACTTACAAGGTGTAAAGGTTTATTTTTTGTGTCCAAATGAAGGAGCAACCATGAGTTGTTGGGCTCACCATTTGCTAGTCAAAAATACGGGATGAGCAGACACCTAATTAAGCTCAGGGTTGGGGTTCTATTCGGCTCTGATGGAGCCCAAGACCAAACATCCTACATTCAGGGAAAGTGAAGGTCATTTCGATGCCACAGAGTGGAAGAGTAGGCAGCCAAGAATGAGCATCACTGTTCTCAAATAGTTTTGTCCATGGCCAAGAACAGCTAGAAGGCATTCACCTTCTCCACTGCCCATGGGCTGTTAGTGGTAGACATGATGGCTTGCTGTCTTGCTTTGTGTGGAGAGTCCAACAGGCAAAGACACACCCTTGCCAGGCAGGAGTTAACCTGCCTCACATACCTGCCATAGTGGGAGCTCTGATTATATGGGAATCTTGGAGTAACTGCTTTTCTTTGTGAATACCCTCTTCCTTTGCAGTCAGGCTCCAGGGGAGTCCAAAGCCTCTGCACCTTGGTGCGGATTCCTCACAAAATACACCTCAGATCCAGCAAGATCTCTACTTTAGACAGAAATAAATCGTTGAGTCCATTTACAATCCCAATTTGTTATGGTCACATTACTGGGCCAGGTCTTGGAGCAATTTCTCAGCTTTGATACTGCTTTGTGGACCTGATCATTCATATGCAGTGCAATGGAGGGAATTTTACAGTATCCCTGGCTTCTACCCACAAGATCCCAGGGCCATGACACACAAAAAAAAATCTCCAAAGATTGTCAGATGTCTTGAGGATCAGGGTCATCCCCATCTATGCGTTGGATTCTGTCTATATAGGAAACATATAGGGGTTTCACATGACTATTAAATGTCACCAAGTAGGAAAAAAATACTATCAAGCATATCTGATTTTGGCTGTCCCATCAAAAAGCTTTCTGCATCACCAACCCTGTGCAGTTTCCTGAGGAAGGACCACAGACAACTTTCTAGGAGGCCTCATAGTTCCATCAAACCAGGCCTCTCCTCAGAGCTCACCTCATCCCAGTCCCCGTACTTTACATCACTCCAAGACACTCACTACCATCCCCCCCCCATGATATCCATGCCAGGGTATCTGAAAGCTTCCTAGAACAAACCAAAATCAGACCTGGGGCTTGTGCTCTGCTCCATCTATCATACAGAAGGCAGAAGGGATGTCACCTAAGACCACCTACCGCCCCTGAAGTGCTGGTTCTGAGCCAGCTCACTCCGCAGCCCAGGCTAAAGAGCCAAAGATACTACTAGCCAGGAACCCACATGAAGGCCAACTTGCCCAAGCAGGAAGGGTCAGCAGCTCACAGATGAGAAGACTGCGAAACTAAGGAACATATTACTAACCAACGCCTTTCACTCGCTGTACACTGAACACATTAGAGGGCCGTGAAATGATGTCGGATTAAAAACATGACTATTTTGTGGAAAACCTGCTACTTGTTTTCATAAAATAAAGTGCTATGACATAATACCCTCATGTTACATTCTCATGATTTTATTTTTACTACTACAAGGAAATACAAAGTGGCCGTTGAGCTGGAAAGCTTTCTTTACATTATTTTGGAATTAACACCAACATATTTCAACAGAGAAAAAGACACCAAAGTTGGATGAGTTGCATCCCCTGGGTTTTTTGTTTGTTTGTTTGTTTTTCGAGACAGGGTTTCTCGGTGTAGCTTTGCGCCGTTCCTGGAACTCCCTCTGTAGCCCAGGCTAGCCTCGAACTCACAAAGATCCGCCTGCCTCTGCCTCCCAGAGTGCTGGGATTAAAGGCGTGTGCCACCACCGCCCAGCACGCATCCCCTGGATTTTAACAGCTGAGTCCTTTATTTAGGATGCAGTAGGCCTCCCACAGAACCCAACAGATCACAACAAAATATCTCCTATCTGGTTTGATGTGATCCAGTGGATCATAACAGTTTTTTTTCATCAAATGACCAGTGTTAGTATGAAAAATGCTTGAGAAGATCCAGGTAATCGCACCCAAAGCTTTGAGAATAATAGGAATGATCTCTGGCATCCCTGGACCCTTTTTGTCCCAGTCCTCATCACAGCTGCTCTTCGTCCTCTTCCTCCTCCTCTTCCTCTTCCTCCTCTTCCTCCTCAGATGCATGGCTCTCAGATTCCTCTTCTTCTCGATCCAAGAGCTTTTTAAAAACCTCAAACTCCTCAGCAGAGGAACACGCTGTCCTGACTAAAAACTCAGCTTCTGAAACTCTGAGAATGTCCATTAGTAAAGGATTAGGGATCTGCGTCTGCCCCTTCTTATCAGGGGTTTGATACCGTCCAAGGCGTTCCAGGTACATGTGTCTCTGTTTGATCTTGGTTAATGAATACTGTAAGAAATCAGTCCTGACTATGTCCAGATGCTTAAGTCCCATCCTAAAATATGCATACTGGAAGATACAAACATGTTTAGGAATCTATGTAGAGAACCCTAAAGTTTATCATTCCAACTCAAAACAAACTTTAGTCTAAAACATTAGAAAAGAATTGCCCAATTAGTAATGGTAGAATAGCCCTCTCTAATACCAACACTTGTGAGAAGTCTGACAGTTTTCAAAGCATTTCCAAATTCATGTTGAGAAAAATGCAGCAGAAAACAAAGCGGTGTAAAGGGATATGTTTTTCTTTAAACAGGGGAACAAAAATCATGTGTAGAAAAACCCAACCTAAAGAAATCGTAAGATACCTAGGAATTTAAAAATGTGTAAATACACAGTTTGTGTGCACAGTTATTTGAGTATGTCACAGAATGCTTGTGAAGGTCACAGAATGCTTGTGAAGGTCAAAGACCAGCCTAACTGGTTCACAAGCCTCTAGGAATCCTCCTGTCTCTACCTCCCAACTCCCCATAGGGGTGCTAAGGCATACATCCAGTTCTTACATGGGTTCCAGGGATCTGAACTCAGGTCCTCATGCTGGCACAAGTTTTTTGTTTGC